AGTCTTTCTCTCACACACTCACATACAAACCATCAGTCTCTCACACAGAATTTCTCTCACACATACAGAGATTACCATCTCACACACAGTCTCTCACACACTCACACACTGTCAATCTCTCACACAGAATTTCTCACATAGATTACTATCTCACGCACAGTCTCACACACTCATACACAATCTTTCATGCAGAATTTCACACAGAGATTACTGTCACACAGTCTCTCATACACTCATATACACAATCTTTCATGCAGAATTTCACACATACAGAGATTATTATCACACACAGTTTCTCACACACTCTTCTACACAATCTTTCATGCAGAATTTCTCTCACACATACAGAGATTACTATCTCACACAGTTTCTCTCATACACATTCACATACACACCATCAATCTTTCACACAGAATTTCTCTCACACATTCTTACACAGTCTCTCCTCACACACACACACTCACATTCACACAATCTCTTACACACAGAATTTCTCTCAGTTTCTCACACATTCAGTCTATCTCACACATGCTCTCTCTCACAGTCTTTCTTACACAGTCTTACACACACACACTCACAGTTTCTCACAGCTCATACAGTTTTTCACATACATACAGTTATCTCACATAGTCTCTCTTTTTCATACATAGACACACTCACACACACACAGTCTCACACACATACACTCCTAGCAGGTGCCTGTCCAATTTCCCAGGTCCCTCAGCTGTCCTGACTGCTGACCTCAGACAAGGTGAACCATGTGCACTTGGGTGTGATGAGTATTTTGTATCCAATGGTGTTTTACCACTTTAAGGTGAAATAAAGTAGTGGGGCTGCCACTGGGCCTCAGTTTTCCAGGTCCCCTCCTAGAATATAGCCATCCAGGAACTGGCAGACACGCTCCTGTCCAGCAGAGGCCTGTGCACAGCCTTGCATCTCTCTCTGCTCCAGGGCTTCCAGTGCCTTCTCTGGTGTCATTTTCTGCTGGGCTTACGCAGAAACCTTTTCCCAGTGATGGAGGCGTTGTCCTCTTTAACAAAGTGCTGGTGAATGATGGAGATGTCTATAACCCCAATACTGGTGAGTTTTTGAAGGGACGTGGGGTTCTTGGTCTGCTCCTTTCCAAAGCCTTTTACCCAAATGCGATGTGGCATCCCCCCATTTTCCTTGATCCTCGGGTGCATGGGGTGGAGTGGGGGCACCTGCTCTGAAGAAGATGCCCCACTGAGTAGTTATGGGTGCAGGAGGCTTGAGGGAGCAGAGTTGGCAGATCCTGCTCATCCCAGTTTTGAGGTTTTAATGAAGAAACGTTTCCCAGCCTCGTGGGCTGGAGAGTGGGTGGGTGTGTGAGTGCGTGCACAGTGACAGTTTCTAGTTATGAGGTCAATGTCCTGGTCCTCGGCTCTCACCCTGGAGTCGGTGTTCATTTTTTTATGGTCGTTTGTTACAAACTCTGCCTGTTGTGCCTCCACCCTGGCCAGCCACCCTCCTCTAACAGCCTCTTCCTGTTATCTGACGCTAATCCTGACACACTGGGGCAGGACAGGCAAGGGTACCATGCCTTCCGAATCTTGTGTGCTTGTGATCGACAGAGCCACGAAAGGAGCCACGGTCTCTCTAGAAGGTGCCAAGACTTGTGTGGGGTCAAACGCTCTGGAAAAGAGTCATTGAAACTTGTGTGCTTCACCTACAGTCTGCAGCACCCTCTTCCGGGTTGTTTCTGGGCCCAGGAGGACAGTGTTGGATGGGGTTGACCACCAAATTCCTGACCCTGAAGGCCTCTTCTAGCCTGCTCCTCCCTGGGATCCTAGGCTTTCATCTCCACCACTGGAAGTAGAACCCCTTTCTCTGTATGGAGGGAAGGCCAAGGGCTATGCTCTACCTCCCAGGCTGGTGGGAACTGCAAGGGTCCACCTGGGGGCTGTGGATTGAAGGGGACAGGAAGCCCTCATCAGCCCAGGCAGTCACTGCTCCCATGTGCCTGGGGCTGATTTTTGGAAGAACCAGAATAGTGTAAATGAGTAGAGCTGAGTCAGTTGAGATCTGGCCTTGGGGGCCTTTCCCAGGAGCTTTGAGATCTTCTGAGTCCACCTCTGCCCGTTGCTGGGTGCTGTTGAGTTGAGTCCGACTCATAGTGACCCTATAGGACATAGTAGAAGTGCCCCATAGGGTTTCCAAGGCTGAAATCTTTATGGCAGCAGATTGCCAGGTCTTTTCTGCCCCTTAGCAGTTGTTATTCTCACCTACCCATCCTCCAGGAGAGGGCTGAGTGCATATAACTACAGGCGAATTTCAGGGCCAGGCGGCCACGGGAACGCCGTCGGGCGGACTTCAGGGCCAGGCGGCCGCGGGTGCACCGTCGGGCGGACTTCAGGGCCAGGCGGCCGCGGGTATGCTGTCGGGCAGACTTCAGGGCCAGGCAGCTGCGGGTACGTTGTTGGAAGGAAGATGGTATTAGCTTCCTTCTGTGCAGAGCCATCACCCTCATGTGTGCCCTGCCTGGTCACCACCTTCTTCCCACCTATTCCCGCCTATTTTGAAGGCAGCAGGTCTTAAATTTTAGTGAGCATAAAAATCATCTGGGGAACATGGAAAAATAAACCTCCTGAACTGCAGGCTGATTAGAAGGAGGCGCAGGAACCTGCATTTTTAGCCTGGGCAGGTGAGGGTCTGTGAAGGGCAGCTCCCTCCCGTGGCCTCGGGCCACATCAGGACACGGGTCTATCACTGCTTGAGGATTGCTGGGGCCTGGAGCCTAGGCCACCCCCTTGTTGTCGCATGCTGCCTTGGTTGTAGGGACAGCTTGACCACGTGATCTTGGAAGGCAGGGATGATGACACGTTTGTTCACATTCCCCTCATGCCCTCCTGCGCCACCCCCCACCATACTCTCCTCTGGAAGCAGGTACTCTGTAAAGGAAATTATGGGAAGCATATAATCACCTGCAGACCCTCTGCGAGAAGATGAAAGCCATGTGTCGCAGTCCTGTCCATGCCTCTGGAAAGACTCTAGAAGCTTTGTATTACTTGCTATTAAAAGCTGGGAAGGGGGCTGGGTGGCCTAGCCCTTTTGGATGGATTTTTCAGGGCAGATTTAAGACCCAGGTCCTTTGGGCCCCTTTTTAGCTCCTGGGCCCCTCTGCATTATCTCAGCTCCTGGCTTCTGGTCAGTGGTCTGTATTTAGTGTCCCCCTCCCACCCCCTAGCCGCGAGAGGTGGCTGCTTCTGCAGCATCTGGTGTGGGCTTGGACCCTTCTGGCTGGCGGCTTCCTGGGGGGCCGCTGCTTGGAGAATCGTCTCATCATCCTTCCTCATGCCATCTCCCACCTCCCTACCATCACCTCCCCTGCTGCCTGCCTTCACAGGCCCAGAATGTGTGGGTCACTGGCTAAGTGAGTATCAGCACCTACTTAAAGGCCGTGAAAGGATGCAATTTATAGACTGACCAAATGCAAGGAGCCTGGCCTGTCTGCATGAAGAGGGCTGGCTGTGGCCTCCTGGGGTCACTTGGCTCCGTGTCTGCCTCTTCCAGGTTGGCTTGGAGCACTGTGTCTTTATCAGTCCTGCCTTCTGGGGCAGCAGTTCCTGCATTCACAGGGATTGCACACAGCAGCCGAGCTGAGGCTGATGACAGATTGGCCTTGGGGTGCTCTGTGAGTGAGAAGCATGGAGCAGCCTAAGCTCTGGGCATGTTTGTTTCCCAATGGACTGCAGGCAGGGGTGGGAGCAGGCTGTGGGTGGGGCCACAGCCCAGCGCTGCATTTTGCAAATACCCACGGATCCATGGCCAGAAAAAGGGCCGAGTGGGAGTGTTAGAAAGCCCAAGGTCTCTTCCCAGCAGTGCTAGAGGTGTTTTCCTCAACGTGTATTGCAGAGCAGTAAGGGGCAAGCTTTACCCAGAGCTGCTGCTGTGAATGTGCAGTCGAGTTACACTGATTAAGTGTATTGAGTTATACTGGACCCTGGGGCTGTGCAGTTACTTGTTCTCTGTGAATGTTATAAGCAGAAGATGGTGGGTATCACAGTGAAGAACCGCTTAGCAGTAGGGAGCAGTGCCAGCACACGTGGGCCCGAGTCCCTGGGTGGGTGTGGGCAGATGCGGTACAGACGGGCTGCCTCCTTGAGAGCCCGTCTCCTGCCCCAGCTTGGCCTCACTTCTAAGGCAGGGTGACCAGCTGCCCCAGCTTGCCCAGGGCTTCGCATGCTTTCGCCAGGCAGCCCAGGCAAGCCGAGGCAGTGTGTGTGGTGGTGCAGCATGAGCACCGGGGTCTGCCTTCCCACAGGGATCTTCACAGCGCCTTACGAGGGGCGCTACCTGATCACAGCCACCCTCACCCCTGAGAGAGACACCTACGTGGAAGCTGTCCTGTCGGTCTCCAATGCCAGCGTGGCCCAGCTGCACACAGCAGGGTACAAGAGGGAGTTCCTGGAATACCACCAGCCCCCGGGGGCACTCCACACGTGTGGGGGCCCGGGGGCCTTCCACCTCATCGTGCACTTGAAGGTGGGGGATGGCGTCAACATCGTGGTGACTGGGGGCAGGCTGGCTCAGACGGACTTTGATGAGATGTACTCCACATTCAGTGGGGTGCTCCTCTACCCTTTCTTTTCCCGCCTCTAGATGGGCTGGGGCAAAGGGAAGGGTAAAGATAATTGTACAAACTCGAAGCTTTAATATATTCAGTTTAGGTATGTCATTGGCGCACTGATCTAGGGTATTCTGCATACATCCCACCCGTTCCCCAGAATATAGGCCTTACCCGTGGTTCAGGCCACCACAGCTGATAGTTACCAGGCGGGCAGAAAAAGCTGACACATGGTTAAGGCTGCCACTGACTCTTCTGTCACACCAACTGAGCAACTGGATGCCCTGGGAATGCCCTTGACTTTCAGCGGATCCTACCCTCCTCCAGCCTTCCCACTGCAGCTGAGCAGTCACTGGGAGCCCTGCCCGAGCGTCGCCCTTGTGCTCAGTTAGTTGCGAACTCATAGGGTGCTGAAAAGAGGCTCCAACGGCTTCCCCTTTGGGCTAGGCCAGAAGATGGCTTCCTGCTGGTGGAGGGGGAGCTGGGTGAGGGCTGAGAGGAGGCTGGAATGGTCCCCTGGGGCTGTGGTCGTCACTGGGGAGCAGAGCTGCAGCCTCTGATTTGTCTTTTACACTTTGCGGAGCAGTTTAAACACTGAAGGGCGCAAGTGCTGGGTGCCCCCCCCTCCCCCCCCAGAGACTGGAGTTCACAATTTGGGCTGTTCGGTGTCCATGGGGACACATCACTGCTCACCAAGCCCTGGGTGGCCGGGTGCACAGAGACTATGTTCCTGAAGCTTGTTGGGCTCCTCGAATGACATGTACAACTTAAGTGCAAAGACAGGGAGTATCAATAAAGATGGAAAACCACTTGAAGTTATTTTTCTGAAGTTTGGTGCCTCATGGGTTGGGAGTTGTTAAAATGCAAACTGTAGAAAGGTATTTTACTTTTTTATGGCTGTTGAAAGTAAGCTTGAGTAAATTAATCTCAACCATAAACTTGTGGAACATCCAAGCTGTACGCTGTTTTTTGGGCTTGTAAAGACAGGCCAGGTGTGCTTGGAGGTCAGCACCTGTGTGGTCCTGTGTGACGGATCACCTAACCCGCAGTGGCCAAGCTCAGGAGACCCAGCACTCCTTGCTTCACTGCACACTCAGACATGGCTTACAAATGCTCAGCTTCCTACACAGCAAGAGGCCTGGCATAAACTGGTCACACACCGCAGGCTGAGACACGCTGAGAAAGGCAACACGCTTCCCTTCTGTCTTAAAAGGAGTGCCCAGGCCGCCCATCGTTTCCCCTGGCAGCAGCGATAACCTCAGCACACTAAACCCTAGCTCAAGGTGGTCTTAACTAGTCGGACTGCTAAAATCTACTGGCCACTTTAGTGCTACCGTTCCTGTCTAGGTGGGGTATGCAGTGTCCTGGAGCCCCAGGGAAAGATTTGGATGGTACTAAAAGTAAAGCTTTGGTTTCCTTGGCCCAGATGGACGCTGTTCTGCTGTAAAAACACTCTGGGTTTCAAGGATTGCTTGCAAACCAAATTAAACAGGGTGGCCATAGGACACCTCAGAGAGGCCCTTCTTCCCTACCCACCCCGGGTCACTTGAAGAAACCCAAAGGCCTTTCCTTTCACTGGCTTCCGTTAAGAGCCCAGGTGGGGAGAACTGACCAAGAATCAAAGGTTTATTATGGTTGTAGCGTGTTTTACATTCGGGCCGCTGTCCCGAGGGAGGAGAAAGGAGCTCCTGCTCCCTCGGCTGGGGAACTGGAGAATGGCCCTCCTGCCCCTCGTTCTCTAAGCTGGGGAACTGGCTAGGGGCAGCCGTCGGCTCACCCTTGGCTGTCCCAGAAATGATTCATGGAAAATAACAATACAGTGGAGTGTTTTCAGGAAAACCCAGTCGGCGTGTGGACGCACGTTCGCTCTCTCGCTCACACTTTAAAGACCTTACTCAGTGCTCAATAGCTGAAAAGGCAGGGACCAGAAAGAGCAACGGTTTTCTTTTTTCTACTCGAGATGGTTCTCTCGGTTCCCCGTTATCCTTCAGTGCATCTCAACAACTCATTTACTGAATAAGGTGATTTTCCGCTCTGTGTATCCAAGACAGTCCATGCAGAATACGCCCAACGGCAGCAGGGCCTGCATTTACTCAAAGATAAAATGGTGTTAAGAGCTGGGTCTCGGCACATGGAAGCTGCGGGGTCTTTAGGTGGGGAAAGACCCACCCTTTATACTGTATAGAGAGAACAGCCGTTGGTTGAGCCCCAGTGCTGGGAGGGCTTGGAAGCTACCTCTTCAAGAACCCATCACCCCATCAGATGTATAAACCAAACCCTAAGGCTTAATCTGACAGTCACAACCTCTGAAAGAGAGTTGTTGCTGCTGAGAAAAAGGCTAGGGCCCTTTTTCGGACAGCAGAGATAGGCTGGGACATTTTCCACACTTAAGCAAATGGCCTCACTTGAATGACTAAAAACAAGAAAACCGTGGCAGCAATGAAAACCACCAATCAAGGCATACTGCATTTGAAATTCCTTCCATGTTTACGTTCACTTAGCTTTCCCAGCGAGACTCGATCATCTCTCGGTTTCTCAGTGTATTTGGAACTTTAAGGGACCGTGAGATCTGAGAAACACGTTAAGTCCACACTTGTAGATTTGAAACATGGCTTTGTATATATCCACATCCACCTTCTAGACGTGTTTCCCCTACAGTCTGTCCTATGAAAAGGAAGGGCACACTCAAATTCTACAGGGTGCAGGGTTGACAGAAGGAAGCTGCAACTGAGGTAGGTCCTGTGACAGCTCAGGAGAGAGTACAGGCTGTTCTCTTTGAACTACCTAAAGCCCTTCTGGGTAGAAACGTCTTCTCTATAATGTGACCATCTGAACTCCTCCTTTCTAGTCCCAAAGTCTTCACCCGTGGGTTTCTTGGACCTCTTACCTAGCCATCAAGTCCTGGTGAAGAAGCATGAAATGCAAAACCTTTTCATACTTTAAAGCACATGCTCATGGAGGAACTTTGCTATTCAGCACACACTCGTGCATGGTAAGGTCAAGAGATCTCGATAGATGGTACTTTAAATGACAGGGAGAAGGATGTGGTTTTTGATCAGAGGTCACTGACTCTCCTAATCTGATGAAAAAAATAATCAGGATTGAGATGTAGTGTCCATACTAAGGACTGGTTAGTGAAAGCTGGGGTAGCAAAGGCCCCCAACATGACGCAGGGAAACCCTGCAGGGCTGAGGGCAAGGAGGTAAAGACCACCTGGTGAGGCCAGAAAACACAGCAGCAATTACATATGTATGAGTGAATCACTCCCTGGCAGAGTCTACAAAGCAGGAGAACTTAGTTCCTGTGGGTGTAGCCTCACTTTGGGAGTCAGGTTTTAAATATAAGCACAAAAAAGAAGTCCCTTCTGCAGATAAATTTAAGTATCAGCAAAGATCAAAATGCTAATTTATGGAAATAATCAGTTTTGGCAAAAGTATAGAGAAGATGATCTAAACGTCCTAAGAAAGGAAGAGTCAAATGCGTTTACATTTGTTTATTGTTTTAACATTTTATTTTGAACATCAAATTTTGCACCAAAATACGATCCATTTATCTCAAGACAATTGTCTTTACCATAACTAAGAGTACTGTACTGATGTTTACAATTAATTTCTGACAAAATTTTACTAGTGGCACTGCTGTCTAAAAAAACAGTTCATCATAAACTGAACTTGTCAAACAGAAAGAGCAAAGTTTCCCCTCCCTTGCTTACCTTCAAAACAAAGCCAAAAAAAAAAAAAAGTTTCACCTGGAAAGAGCACTTACTTTAAACAAAAAATCAATTTTTAACCATCTTAATCAAGCCCAGCATGCTCTAAAATAAGGAAAACCCAGGCTTCCCAGAGTAAATGTGATACCTGAAAAGCCGATAAAATTGCCTGGGCGAGTCTGTTCTTCTCAACTTTCAAAAAGAGAAAGTGCTCACTTGCTGTCAGTGAAGGCCTTGGCTACACCTGCCATAACGAAGTGCAGAAGGACTACATGCAGGCCCATTGTGCAGGCCCATCGGCAGGACGCACGGACAGAAGTGCCTCCAGTCACCAGGGAGCTGGTGCTCCTCAGTGCTCTGCCACAGTGAAGAGCGGCCCAAACGAAGAGCTCTGCACACCTTTCACTTTCAGCAGCCTTCACGTTAGGACATCATGCTAGTAAGTTTTTCTTTTTCCAGTTGAAAATGATGCAGATGTTCTTACACGTGGCCAACACAGTACTCAAGCACGGGGTAGTCTGCATGCTCCAGGTCCACACGTGTACTCTCTAAGGCCTGACCAGGATGCTGAAGTCTACACTTCACAGAAGTACAAGCTTGAACACGCTGACATTAACGCTAATACTAAAGTTAGACTGGATCGGAAAGAGGAACCATTTAAACAATGGAGCAACTGACAGAATGACGGAGAAGAGCCCATCTGCCCTGCAGGCTCCTGTGATTCTCCCATCACCGCCAACAACACTAGGGCGATGAGTCATGAGCTCACCATCCTAAGGGCTTGTGTACTAACACACTCAAGGGCATCTCTCTTTCACAGAAAGAACAAATGTCATTTGTACCAAATGGCAGTGGGTTTTTAGCACAAACTTAATACTTTCATAACACCATCGTAATAGTAAATCATATACTTTCAGTAAGAGGGACTCCTTTAAATAAGGAAAAAGACCCACATTAATTAGCATATATACCCACTGGATCAACCTACAGCGACAAAGCGACAAAGCCTACTGCTTATGGACACTGAGACAAATGGACCAAGCCCCCTCAGCTTAGGGCTGGAGACCTGGCTTCCTAGCTGGATCCTCTAAGGCATGCCTGGGTGTCCAAAGAGAAGAGCTTGACACAAAAAACAAAGACATAACCTAGTTAAAAACTCTTTAGAGGACAACCTACAAAGGACTAAAGGTGTATACTATGATTTTTGTACCGCACATATGCAAAGGAACCCTATTAAGCTCAGGCTAGGCGCACAGCGCTCACGTTCTCCCTCTACCCCAGTCTGCTCAGAGGGCACACTGATGGCGTTCAGTGGCGGTTTAACCAGCATCACTAACCAGACCTGTGGCAGGTCTGTGGACCTGGGTTACAGTGAGAAAGCAACTGGTATCTGCTCTTCTAGGGTTTAATTCACTACTTGGTAGAACTTCGCATAAACATAACCTAGTTCCCCTAGCCTACTGTACATAAATATGTCAATCAAACTCTTTAAACAATTAGTCCTTCTGAAATGTTCAAGGTGAGAAGATCTGGACTGCAGAAAGCACATGTCATTGCTTCTCTGGGAACATATGCCTTCACGTTTTGCCACTGAAAACTGTATTCAAAGGATCTCAACACTGTCTCTGCATCCAACAGCACTAAGAAGAAACAGCTAAAGTCAGTCAGGGAACCAACTCTCCACTCTGGAATGTCACTGTCTCCGTCCCTGGATCAGTGTTATTTTGGGTGAGGTGAGCTAAAATGAGAAGAGCCCACAATACAATCACAGGAGAAGCAGAGCCTGCGAGCCGCTCACCTGTCTCTGCAGCTCTCTCTGCTGTCCTCGGGACTGTGGCCGTGGCTATCTTTGGTCCCCTGGAGGCTGCCTCTCAAACAGCTCTCTGGACTTGAATACTGAGGTGACTGTCAACACCACCCTGATCTCTCTAGGCTCCTGGAAATGACTGGCTAATCACAACCTCTGGAGGGGCTTACAGGACATGCCCCTGGGCTGTCTGTCCAGGCATCTGACATGACCTCCTTACAGCCAGGTTGGGAAGCTGAGCTGCTCTCATTTTTTTAAGGGAAAATAGGCTCCCCCATGTGACCACAAGATCTCACAGGGTACAAGCGTCCCCTGCTGATGGAAGCCGTCACAACAGGGGCTCAGAGATGTGAGGGGTGGTGGCCAGCTCCAGAAGCCCTCTCTTAGATGGCTTCCCGGGCTTTATCCACGGCTGTGATTCCAAGTGCCAAAAGCCAACTGCCGGCTGTGGCCTCATGCAGCTTCACTGTGCTTCCCTGACAAACCTAAAGTGCAGAATTTTAGAACCCCTGAAGACACCCAAAAGCCCACCTCTGACGGGCAACAGGCCCAGTGATAGAGAAGAGTCTTCCCAGGACAGAGCACAATGGTACATCTGCATTCCGAGGCCTCCCTGGAAACAGATGTTTTTTTTTTTTTTTAAACTCAATTTCCACTAATAAGATTTTTATTGTAATCATCAAATATATACCTGCAAGACCTGTTTCTTCTGGATAGGTCTCAGAAATAACTTAAAGGCCTCCCATGGTTGAGTCATCACAGATGAGAAACCCGTAATGCTCAGTGTTAGAAACCGTGTTTGTAGGGCTTTGTAGACAGTGGGCCCCGCCAGGGCTGCTGCCGTGGCTCTGGGGCCTGACCTGTGGCTGCTCCCCTGGCACCCTGAAGCAGCTGCCCGGTTCAGGAGCAGGAGAGGAGGAGTCCAGAGAAGAAACGTGCACGGCCAGTTTGAAGCAACATCCTAACTGGACCTGTGGCAGTTCAGTGGACCTAGGTTATAGAGAGAAACTGAATCTCAGCTGCCCAGTGGGAACTGGATCACTTTACTCTGTGTGACGTTTTAGTCCATTCTTTTTTACCTATGGTTTTCTTCCTTTCAAATTGTATAATTAAAGGTGCACCAGCACCCAATTCAACACAAAGCACGTGTGAGGACGGACACACATACAGCAGCACAGGCTCCACCTTCAGCTCAGAGCCCCTCATGCCCTACCCACCCCCCACCACCGGGACCCTGAGCTCTAGGACCGCTGAGCCTGAGGAGCCACGTGGGGAAGTGAAGAGAGACGCAGGCCAGCTCCAGGAGTACTCCTGGCCCCTGCTCGGGAAAGCTTATGTCCAGCTGGAACGCGGGTCTGGTCCAGCACTATGGCTCCAAGGCAGCCCAATGTCCTCTGTCCAGCAGAAGCCAGTCACTTCCCTTCCTGTGAGGCTGAGTGACTGGGGCCCCCACCCCTGGGAGGGGTTCTCCTCAGGCCAGGTCGTCCAGGCTCACATTGGGGATGGGGTCTCGCCAGTAGCAGAAGGAGCTAAACTCCGGGCAGGGAAAGGCAGAGTTCTGTTCTTTATTGAGAAGTGGAAACACATGGTCCACGAGTTCACTCAGCCTGTGGTACCTAAGAGGGGGGGAAGGGAAGAAACACACAAGCTGTTATTTCAAAATCCATCAAACATCACAAAATTGTCGATTACAACGCTAGGTTCAGAAACAGGCATCATGCCCCCTCGCAGGATACAGACCAGGAAAGTTCCTCATCAAATGTCAGTCATCAGTGACCCCTTCAGTGCCTCTTTTGAAGAACAACCACCCAGGCAAAGAGGGGTCTCCAAACAGACAGAATAGCTCTGTCTGTCCCTAGCTTTGGCTGCGGGCACTACACTGCCAAGTTGGAATACACTTACGATGACTTGTTTCCTTTGGTCCTTTCCTGTATTAACTCCCCCTTCGGGTTCACGGTGAATATTCTACAGTCTGGGACTCCAACTTGCATGTAGGCGTAGACATCCTGCAGAAGGAGACAGCGGTACTGAGTACGGGGAGGGAGATCAGGAGAGGCCTCTTGGTCTCTGGAGGCCAGAGTGTTGCACAGAGATGCTCTGTGGGAAACACATGGAGCTGGGCACACTTCAGACAAACCAGAGTGATGCCAAGCCCAGAGGGTGCCAAGCCCAGAGGGTGCACAGGGAGGCAGAAAACCTGGGCTGCCAAGCAGGAGAAGCCAGGAGCCCTGGAACAGGAGGGAGGCAACACCTTCGCCCAACCTGGGGCCTGAGGCCCCACTCACGTGAGCAGGGCAGGGGTTGCTAGAGCAGGGGAAGCACTCATGCCGTGCTTGGCTCTGGGTGGACCCAGGGACGTGGCTCAGAACACTGAGAACAGGAGTCAGAACTCTGAGGGAACGAGGCCACAGAAAAAGAGCGAGCGAGCGAGAGTGAGCCCTTGTTCATACACCAAAATTCTGGGGCAGGTCTCTTATCTACACAACCTCCCCAATGCTACAGGAATTAGGGACAGATAAAGTAAAAACCCATGGAGCAGAAGTGACATTCACTTTGTCACTTGGTTTGGGAATTAGGACATGGATATCACACAAAGAGCACACGTCTCTGATTTCCTACACCACATCAGAATCTGAAACCCAGACGAGACACTTACGTTTGGGCGGTTTCCAAAGGCAGCATAGAAGGGCTGCTTAGATGGGGCAAACAAATTCTTGATATCATTTAGACATTCAATTTTGAACTTCTCTGGTTTCTTTTCTATCACTTCCCTAGGGGAAAAAAATACAAACGTTTTTAACCATCTAATACAAAACGGTAGTTTTCCCTGGTGTGTAGCCCTGAAGAGACCTCAGTACTCATGCCATTCAATCTTCCTAATCCTTTTAACTGGTATCTTTCTTTCTCCTTCTTCCCTAGTCACTGTGATGACTAAGATGTGAACGACGGGGTTTGGGAAAGGAGAAAACTTGACAACTCCTACAACTCGACTTTTCTTCACCATAGCTGACACAGACCAGGTGGGAGCCATGTGTGAGAAAGCTATGGCGAAACCAGAGAACTAACAGAGAAGCACGAGCTCTGAAACAGACACAAAGACTTCCTAAGTGGTGCCGTTCCCTCACACGCACACTCCATTCCGGGCCCTAGGTTGGCCGAGGCCCATCCCCCATGGACACAAATGTGGTGGTTGAGCCGGGAGAGGTACCTGTGGAAGGCAGAGAATAAGCTGCTGGGTGACAGCATCAGAGGGCCCCGAGGCAAGATTGTGCCCTTGTCATTGACCCAGTGGAGGTAGCCACGGGTCATGTCAGCCATGCCGATGGCGCGGGCTGAACAGTACAGAAACTTGTAGCCATTCCTGAAAGAGAATATATCTGTTTAGCCCATGTGCTTTGGCTAAAAGAGAAAAAGAAAAAGCATTTTTCTTTTAAAAGATCCAAATAAAGTTCCTCTCACTACTGTGAATTTAGCAGAAAACTAGTAAGGATTATAAAGATTTCAACCTTCCCATGAGAAAGGGCATAGGGAAAATGAGGTAAACCCAACTAAGAATTATGCCAAATCATAAATTACTGATGTAATAAGCATCTAGTCCATGAAAGCCAGGTTACAGAAGAGAGAAAAAGCTTGGCCTATCTTTGAATTAGGGAGAAAAGACACAACGGATCTCATTTATAAATGAGAACCGTTCTGTAAGACAAGGAGCAAAATTATACCTGGGTAATGGTATAAATGGCACTCATAACTTTCCTATTACGGCATGCTGGATTAACGCTTAAGATACCATCATTTTTCAAATCAATTTAACTTCGAGGTGTCAGGACCCCCAAAGCCACAGCACCCCCTTCCCTTGGAGAGCGCCTGACAGAGGATCTGAGGGTCCGCAAGGTGCACGTGGGATTCCCAGCTCTGGCAAGGGAGCTGCCTCCCACCTGAGGCTGGGGCCTGGGGCAGGTCTGAGAGGAGCTGGCTGCCTGGATCCAAACCCGCCCCAGAAAGCACCAGCAGGAAATGACGCCCCATGACGGTGCAGCGACAGGAGGGTGGGGTGTTTAAGAGCTGAGCTCCTGGCCTGGCCCAGGTGCAGCTCAACCCCGAGCGCTACAGGCACGTGCTGGAGAGGATGCCAGGGACTGAGTGGGGCTGCATCTGAGCAAGGTGGGGTGATGCATAATTCACTGTGCACATTTCTTACTGTGTACATATCCTTACAATGCTGGGCAACTGCTGCCCCTATGCATGGAGGTATTACCTATTCAAAGAAATACAATTTAAAAATACCCAATAAATCAAAAATGAAATAGGCTCAACTGTTAAATTCTAGCTCAACATAAATAAATAAATTCTACCTACAAACATCAATACAGGTAGTACCCTAAGCCTCACAGTGTTGTGAGGATTAAATGAGGCAGTCCAGGTAAAACCCACCATGCAATGCCAGGCATGTGGCACGTGCTCCGGAAGTGGTAGCTGCCATTTCTGTGTGTACAGCTGTGGGAGAAAGGGAGAGGGGAGGGGGCAGCCGGGATACTGGACCACAGACACATGACTAACGTGGACTGCCTGATACAGTCTGTTTTTCTCGTTCTTAATCAAAGCAAAATTCTAGCTCACTAGAGTGACTCGCCACATTGGAACGAACACCTACTCATTGATGGAATGGTAGAGCTTTGCTATTCCCTGGTGAGTCCAGTCTTTACCCAGTTGTGGGAGAATCTGTCCCAAAGCATCAGACCTAAGGAGAGGGTGGAAAGAGGAAAAGGTATTAGGAATCAAATGTATAAAGCCAGGTTTTTTTCCCTATTTGGCTAAATATGAGCTGCCAAAAAACGTTTGGTGGGCCGGGGGTCCAGCCTACAGAGACAGCTCCATCACGCTGTGTGCTCCCTGCAAGCACAAGCATGGATGTGCGTCTACGAGTGGAATCTGACTTGAGAGCCAGACACTCATTTTCAGAAATCATTTACAATCACACATCTGCTTTTTCTCCTCCCTAATCTCAATAGCTTCTTGTTTGTTTTCTCAAACATCAGAATTTGGAGACCATATAACTAAATCATTCCAATAAAGTTATTTTTGACTATAGATGGGTAGAGTCTTCTCATCCATCTTCTCTCGTGGATTGCACTCACGATGTCTCAATGCAGAGTGTTTAGAAAATACCCCACGGTGGCCAAGGACCAGACGTCCAGACTGAGGAGACCCATCCAAACTAGCCTGCACCCCCATGCTCAGGGCTGCTCCTCACCCCCAGATGGCAGGCGGTGCTTACTTGGTTATTGTCCCGTCGATATCAGAAATGATGACCTTGTCATTCCAGTTCCACAGGTAAATGGTCCCTGCACAGCGGCAGGTGCCTTGATATTGGGTTGTGATACTAAATACAACATCATTTGGCCCATCTTGGAGCTTCAGTTTTGCCTTTTATAAAAAGTGTAAGAATAAAGAAAATCAGCTGAAAAATATAGTTTGGAACAGAGTTTACTATTTACAGAAACAATAGGCAGTGTTTCAAGGATTCCAACCTCCCCAAGGCAGGGGCAGTTTTGGTCAGTCCCCGAGCACACAGCGTGCCTGGAATGAGATCGGCTGGCCAGCCACTTATCAAATAGTGTTTGGGATTCCAAGAGACTTTTCAGAACCCCAAAATCAAAACCTTTCTGCTCTTCCTTGATACCTGAGCGTCACTGCCCTGAGGCACAGCGTCCTGCTGTTCCTACTGAGACTAATTTCATACTGAAAATAGATAAAATTCAAGGAGTAGGAAATAAACAGGAAAGCCTGGTGGCGTAGTGCTTAAGGGCTACGGCTGCTAACCAAAAGGTCGGCAGTTCGAACCCCCGAGGCACTCCTTGGAAACTCTGTGGAACAGCTCTCACTCTGTCCCGTAGGGTCACTATGAGTCAGAATCGACTCGACAGCAATGGGTTTGGTTTTTGGTTTTAGGAAATAAACAAGAAAGGGACAGTTGTGTCTAATTGAGAAAATATCATTTCCCTATTGTTGTGGCTCCTAAGAGACAGTACTGGGCTGACAGTGTAAGATTCACAGAGAAACATGTTGAAGATTCACACTCCTCAGGCCATCTGAGGTTAACCAAGGACAGGGTGGGGCTCTTCTGTTGTATATGAAAACACTTATACTGGATCCCTTCAGCTCCCCCATGACTCACGATCTGCTCTGAGGAGAGTCTGAGGGACTTCTTGTATGAGGTGGTGTTGCCGTGGATCAGGTGCTCCCCAGGAACAGGGTCCACTTTGATGGATTCTTCAAGCTCTTGGGACGCCTCGTCACTCGATGAGTCATCCTCAGACAGCCTAGACAACATCAAACCAGTTACAGTATTTTACGCAAATAATGTACACATTATACGGTTTTCCCCAGCCGCGGAGCCCTTGTATGCGTGGGTGCATTATTTGTGAAAAATACAGCACTGAAGAGGCAGCGGGGCACTTTACTGAAGACACATTTTCAATTGGGATCAGGAAAAGGAAGACATCCTAAAGCACCGTTCAAGTTTCTGAAGGATCTACCAATCCGTTCTAGGTTTGGGAAGAGTTGCTCCCATTGCTATTCACCCATGTCCGGTTTTCTGTGCCTGAAGCAGTCATGTCATTAAGTGATAAGGCCACCATCGGAAAGCAGTTACTTTCTGGCTATGACTTGCTGTTTTCTGCTAGGACCAACGACGGAATGCTAATAGGTCTAACTATTATCCTTCTAACTCTTGCCAAAAAGGGTATGTAAGTTTCAAAAGGTACAAATTAATGAAAATATAATTGCATATACTAATTTAAAAAAAAATAGTAAGAAAAATTTATCTACCCCTTGAAAGAAGAGGATAAAGAGCAAGAAAATAAACTCTCAGGCTCAGAGAACTACTAAATAAAAGAACAGGGAAAGAAGAAAGAATCCAATCAGGGAGAGGAGAACACAGGCAGAGACAAGGAGCGGGTATACAGCGAGCGACTCTCCTCAGGCCAGCCAGCCGGAATGTCCCAAGAGATGCTCCTTCTTCCACGCAATTGTACATCTCAGGATGTACTCAATCCAATCTTTCAGAGTCTTTTTTAGATCTCCGTTTTGCACTTGATACGAAACGGGGGAGCAGGGACACAGGGGTATGGCATATCTTAAGTTAGCCCTTTCCCAAAGTCTTACATTTCACAGTATCAGATTTCATGGCTCCAAGATAGATAGTATTTACTCCTCTATGCTGTTATTTTTTAGAAAAGTAAAAGTTACCTGCTAACTAACTGAGCAGCACAAACAAGCCACTTTATCATGTGTGTCTATAGGAGAAAGTAGTTGCTGACTAATAATTCACCCACTTAAACGCAATGGCAAAGCAGGAGGAGCCCAAGTGAGGACACCCTGGAGGAAGGACGAGGTGTGCCCACCTGGCCCCCGCTTGCTCCTCAGTGCTCGAAGGCAGGTCGCTGGTCTGCTGCACCGCAGACTTTCCCTCCTTGGCCTCCGGCAGCTGAAACAGCAAGAGAATGATCTTGGCAACGCACAATTTTTTTTCTTACAGACAAGCAAAAATTCATCAGCAGTCCTTTCCAGGGAAGATTGTAACTACTTTCTGAGTCCACAACCTAAAAACGCTCAAGAAACAGAGTTTCTTGAGCCAAAGGGCAGAAACTCTAGTTTGAGCCAAAGGACAGAAACTTGAGATAGGAGTCACACGCTGCTATGCGAAAAGCTGCAGCCCACAAAGCCAGAAGACAAAAATGTTAACAGAGCCCCATTTCCAGTCACAGAACGTGAGACGACAGGCCCAAACTTGCCAGGGCCCCTGGCGGAGCCACAAGGAGTACAGAACAGAAGTTACTGATGCCCCTTCTCCTGGGAATGACTCAGCACCTGGGAAAGGCCTGAGAGGCAGCACGGAGAGATCATGTGAAAACCAACTCAAAGGAGTCATCAATCACCAGAACCTGGTTCAGGATGACTACAGTTCTGTCATTTGAAAAATACGTAAACTTCCCTAAGCCCTCTTTTTCAAAGGCTTTGGGAAACAGATTTGATCTACACTGGCTTGTCTGGTATGGTTCTTTAGGTGAACCTGTCCTGCTAGTGTTTTCTTTAAAGGGGAGAATCTGGCTATAATAACCTGTAGGAGGATAATAAGCTAGCTTTTCTTGTATCTGGAAGGTAATGTGGTGAAGTGGAGACAGACTTTGGAGTGAAGACTCAAGGTCAAATCTCATCAGTTACACAATGTCATTGAAGCTACTCAACCTCTTTGTGTCAAAGTTTCCTTATCTATAAAATGGGAATTCAAATATTTATACTTTCAAGTTGGTGTAAAATTCAGAGATAATATATATAAAGTACCTAGCACAGTACCTGCACACAGTAATTACTCAAAAATGCAAACTATTATTATTGTAATAGAGCACTACACACAGCCCAAATTGACATTTTTATGCTTGGCAAAAAGGTGTTCTGAATAAATGAAAGATATGCTGCTTTTCAGCCCATGGAAATGGTTACCTGTTTGATCATGCTTTCTCTCTTACGCCAAAACCACCACCGACCAGATTTCTTTGGCATCTTATCTTTGACCCAGGACTCGACTGTTGCCTGGAAACAACCAACTTGGGTTAGTCTGGGCAAGCTATAGGTCACAAAGCAACCAGCTATTTCCTACCACTAGCCTGCAGGTGGGACCTTATTACGGAACGTGAGAATCTAAGCACCACTCTCCACACCTCCCAGGCTCCTTGAGCATTTTACCACCTCTGACAGACAGACGATACCCAGCTCTCAGAGCAGAACTGGCTGAGTGCTGCAGCACGTCTGCGGGTGTGGCTGGCTGGGCTGCTGTGTATGCGCAGCTCTATGCCCTCCCTGTCCTTGGAAAACATGCTCTCATGAGTTAGGACAAACCAGGCTGACTCCTTGGTGAACAGATTCAAAGAAAATCTCCAGGTTCTATACAGCAAGCTCACTAGCCACAATCTGACCTGATCTCACTGTGGTCACTTCTGTTGGCCACGCTGCCCTCTTCTTGCTGCTGCTTCTCACATTGATAAGGAGAAAATTTTTTCATTCTTTCCATATTTAATTTACAGTTAGTAAAATCTCTCAACTTTTATACACAATCACGAACTGGCACACATATCTAATAAGCGATTTAAGGAACTGGCACACATATCTAATAAGAGATTTAAGAAAGTGGCAGCCCGGCTGATTTCCTAGATTTTGGCTATGAGATGATTTGGGTGTGCGTATATAGCTATATGGACCTTTTACAATAATAAAGATTACAGTAAACTCAAATAAGGCTTTGAACAGTACCTAGTTCACAAGTAAGCACACATGGATTTTTGTACATACTATCTGTTGTTGATAGTTTCAAAAAGGCAACAGATGGTGCATCCCCTCACCTTAGGCAGACTCTTCTGGAATACTTGCAAGCTAAGGATCATGGGAGCAGCCAAAGCCCAGTTATAGTAACTGCGAAAAAAAAAAAGCAAAATCATTAACACACAGCCCCCCCACAGGCGAGAGAGAAGTAGAAACAACCAGCAAAACTGCTTATTCTTTTCAATAAAAAGATGATCTGCTAATTTTTTTGTCACATGAGGAATCTCTGTTTCAAGCCAAACTTCTCTGAACAGAGAAGCAGTAAAATCTATAAAATAAAAAACATTTCAATGCCTCATTTAAAACTAAAGCTGAGGCTTCACTTTCTTTTCAAAGTCACTGCCCACTAGTTCATTTATATGAGATGACACATTGTATAGTACGAAAAACTATACTACTTAAAACAGCCTTGGGAAAAAACCTGCAAGAGTATTTAACAGTTATAAAAGCAGGAGTAATTTACCGGTTATATATCCGTATTACAAGATTAGGATTGTCTATAAGTCCAGGGTTTTCTGCAAATTCGTGATAAGTAATGATATGCTCCATGAATTTTTCTGCAATGTAAAATAATAATGATCAATTTGGTTAGAGACTACATAAATCCCTATATGAGATTATCATAATATTCTCTGCACTGCAGGAATTGTAGAATAAAATAAAGCAAGTCTTCTTTTTTTTTTTTAAACTAACTTTTTTTTTGTATCTGTCAGCCACCCCCCCGCCCCACCTTTTTTTTTTTAGGACAAGAAAGAACGCTTCTTTTTTATCCTCCCTCTGTTAGGAAAACAGATTACAGATGTGGCGAGAGAGACAGACACACACCCAGTAACTGTGATGAAAAAACTGACTTTCCATTCTCGTCAGAGGGGAGACTCTTTATTAGCAGGCGACTACAGAGCTGGGGAACACTCATGGGGGGTGGACAGCTTTAACTGGCATGCTATAGAAAACATCTCACGATTGCTTGGAGAAAAAAAAATAACAGGATGTGGTTCAGGGTCTGTAAAAAAATAAAAGCCTAAGTTGTTGCAGAGAGAATGAGGATTTCCCATGAATTGCTGTACTTTGTTCCTAACCTGCATTCTGGTAGATCCAGGCTGACAGAGAAATTTCTCGCTTGTATTGTTCCTCCAGGTAATCTGTTTATTATTTCCTTGTGACATTTCTGCCTCCTCCAATAACAAAGTCTACCAGACAAAGTTACCAATATTTAAAACAAAAGCATAAATACATTTTCCTGTCTATCTATCAATATAAATATATATATAGTGAGGGCTTATGATGATTACAAAAAGAATCTGACCTACTTTTTTTTTTAATATTATTTTATTGTGTTTTCAGTGAAAGTTTACATAGCAAATTAAGTTCTCATTTAACAGTTTCTACACAATTTATTCAGTGACATTGGTGGCATTTTACAGTGTTTGTCAATCTCATTATTTCTGTTCTGGGTGTTCTGTTTCCAGTAATCTAGCTTCTTTCCCTGCCCCCTGCCTTGTCTTTGCATTTGACCATCTGGCCTCATATAGATGACTTTTAAAAGGAGCACAGTACTCATGGGTGATATTGTTTATTTTATGAGCCAATTTGTTATTTAGCTAAAAAATGACCTCATGGAATAGTTTTGGTTCAAGGCTTAAAGAGTATCTTAGGGCAATAGTCTCGGGGAGTCCCCCAATCTCAACTGGTCCAGTTAAGTCTGGACTTATTAAGAATTTGAGTTCTGTTCCACATTCTGCTCCCATTCTGTCAGAATCCATCTATTGTGTTTCTGATCAGAACGGTCAGTAGTGGTAGCCGGGCACCATCTAGTTCTGGTCTCAGGGTAGATGAGGCTATGGTCTGTGTAGACTAGTTTCTTCTCTGAATCTTTGGTTTTCTCCATTCTTTTTTACTCTGGATGCATACAACCAATAGTTGCATCTTAGTGACCTGTCAAGTTTTGTCCCCAGGAAAAAAACATTGGCCATAACATACCCTTAATTTCTTGCACAAAATAAAACAAACAGAACTAACAGATGGAGAAGAAAGAAGCATAATGAGTACCCCGTGACTCTGAACAGAAAAAACGCAGGAAAACCCAGTTCAGAGGCTATGGCCACCCACAGGTCTGCCCCAGGCACGCTGCCTTCAGTTCCTCTCTGAAGCGACAGAAGAGAAGGAACAATGCCAGTAACAGAAAGAAGATCTCTCCTTAGAGGGAAACCAGTCAAGCACCACTAGCCAAATTGAGAAGATATTAAGATCTTAGTTTGAAAAGGAAGCAAAACCAACAAGGCTGAAGGAGGTAGGACAAGTGCACACGGGGTGCTCAGCCCACACCCGAAGTTCCCGAACCTTTCTGCTAAGGCCCTTTCTGTACTCATGATAAGCTTTACTCTCCTGGGCCAACTTGCAGGCCTGAAATAGAAGCTAAGCCCTTGTACTTTTTGTCAGAAAGTCCATTTATTCAGTGGACAATCAATGCTCTACAAACTCAGGGCCCTGCACTCATGTCTAAGGCCCGGCACTTTCCAGGAGGGCAGCTGGCCTCAGCCCCACGAATGTTTCACTTCAAAGACAAGAAAACAGACGCAGTGTGCCTGACCCTGGCCACCTGGCACACAGGGCAGCTGTGAGCTCTCTCAAGTGTGAAGTTAGACCTTTAAAGGCACATCTTCACCAATGACGTTTACAGTTAATGTCACCCCACGTGAAGTGCCGTCAATGAGCACTGAAGGCTCAGATCATTATAGGGAGATACCTGTTACCCACGAGGACCTCTGGTGGTGCAGTGGTTAAGAGATCAGCTGCTAACCAAAAGGACGGCAGTTGGAATCCACCAGCCACTCCACGGAAACCCTATGCAGCAGTTCTACTCTGTCCTGTCGGGTCACTTTGAGTCATTATCGACTCGACGGCAACGGGTTTATCTGTTACCCACATAAGATCACTAAAAATTTAGATGTGAGGCAATGGCTAATGGGCAGGCTTTCAAATTAAGTGGACAAACCATGTGGTTTCTGAAGTGAAGACAAGGCCCAAGTGCCCACATACCTTTAGAAATTTCTCCATTCTCACTGAGGCCCCCGCAAAGTGAGAGGGTGACATCAGGCAAGTCCATGGCAGAATCAGAGAGGCATTCAGTGCCGCTGTCTGCGGCCGCACTTCCCACAGACTGCGGGGATTGGGAACCAGAGAGCGTGTCCGACTCAGGCCACTGCCGGCAGCCGGGGTCCAATTCACTGGGGTAGTGGACAGGGAGAAAAGGATCTGCCTTAGTACAACTTGTACTGGGGGCTCAAACCAAACGACATATCCGCTAACAAGCAGCTGACTGACCTACAATCAGACCACAGTTTTTCTTAGGAGGTGTTCAGAACCATATAAATGACATTAAAAATAACTTCAACAGCACTACTGAGGAATTCACTGTGAATGTAGCAAACACGTTACAAAACCAGTATGGTCATTCACAATGATACACACATTTCAACTATAGCCTTACTGATTTTAATTAAAGGAGCAAAAGAATTATAAACATTTATTTACATTTCCATGATGAAAATGACAGGGTAATTAAGAAAAATTTGATGTTTGGAAACCTTTTCATCCTAACTTCGTAGAGAAAGCTGTGGTACCATATACATCCTGTAGAAAATTACTATAGTCTAAGGCTGTACTGAAGTCCTGGTGGCATAATGCTTAAGAGCTTGGCTGCTAACCCAAAGGTCAGCAGTATGGATTCACCAGCTGCTCCTTGGAAACCCTATGGGGCAGTTCTACTCCGACCTATAGGGTCGCTATGAGTCGGAACTGACTTGACAATGATGGGTTTGTTTTTAAGGCTGTATTATTTTTAAAATAATGCTTTTCTAAATTTGTTATGTCACAAACAGAAGAAAGCAGAAATTAAGCAAGAGAAAATTCTCAGGAGGGTAGACCTGCCTAAAAAAAGAGATGTATTGAGAAACAAGCTGGAAGTGAACTGTTTTTATACTAGTGAGGGCCAGAATTAAAGATGGGGTTATTCAATATTTTCATTTTTCTGGATGATAAGGCACAGAAGTCAGGTTTCAGGTGATAAGGGAGGCCTTTTGTAATGAGTCATACATTTGAGAGAAAAAGGACAAGAAAACAGCCCCTTAAGTATCTCAGCTGTAAATATTTAGTAGGCTACACTCTTTGAACAGAGACTTAATGTCACATTTGAGATATTGTTCAAGAATTTTCAAGTTCATTTATTTAGTTCAAAAAGCCAATACATTCAATGTTTGATTAAAAACGAATCAATGTATGCGATCCCGTGAAGTTATCAGATCTTTAGGAAAACTTCTTCAGTTTGAGCAGAAGGTGGGAGGGTATGGCTAAATAGAGAGCAGTTTCAAAAGCTGCTGTGTTTTGCATTTGAACTAATAACAGATTCAGGTTTTTAGAAATGTTCACTCTCAACAGCAATGCACAGTCACACCACAAGATTGCTATTAATTAGATCAACAGAATGTTCTCTTCACTGGAAATGCTGAAACAGGCCAAAGTCAATGTAAAACAGCAAAACTTGTTACAATGCTGTGGGGGTGAGGGGCAAGGCCGACCCTCAGGAAAAACAGACAGACGACCGCTATGTGTCCACAAAGCCTGTTTCCTCTTCCACCTGGGCACACGGCTAGCCCACCTTTTTCGGCCGCCCTTGCAGCGAGGGGTGGCCGTGGGACTTAGTGGCCAAGTCTTCGATGTGAGCAGCAGTGGTATGATGTGCCCCCTTCCAAGCCTGGCCCATGGAAACCTTCCATGTGTGATCCTCTCTCCTCTTGCTGTCTGTGGGCTAAAAATGATCGACTCCGAGGTCCTACAGGGATAGTGGAGCCTAAAAATGAAGGCACCTGAGTTCCTGAGTCCCTGTGTAGAAACTGCCCCCTCCCAACTCCAGCACTAGAATGTTGTTATCTGAGCAAGAAATAAAGGTCTACTGTGTGAAGCCACTGAGAGCTCAGGTTTTGTCAGTTACAGCAGTTGGTGTCACCCTAACCAGTACAACATCAGAATGCATGGAGGATGCCATCTGATCAACATGTAGGCAAATCCAGAAGAGTGACGTGATTTACAGTAAGGTTTAGCTATATTTACAAATACTGGATATTCAGTAGTAAAGATGACAATGATCATGACAATAACTCATGCTTATAAGCACTAAAAGTCTCATTATCTTTTTGTATTTAAGAAACGTCTCCACAAATAATCAGCTCATGAGGTAAGAAGTTTACTTAGTAAATGGACAATGAATGATCCTACCAGTCAAATCAGAACAGATCATAGTAAGGTCCCATTGGCTTAGTCTTCTCCCCATTTTTTTAAAAAGAGAAATTAAGCAATCTATCTTAGAAATACCAATGTAAAAAACGATTAGAATGGGAAATCTGAAAAAAGTGGTAATTCTAAAAAGTTTATATTTTAACTTTCCTGTTGTTTAAAAAAAAAAAAGTGAAGCAGTTTCAATTTTCTTACCTTGAAAACCCAACTATTATTTCAAGTGAAGTCAATATTGTGAGGCAGATTTAGGGCACAGAGTTAAGAAGGAGTTTAAGGACCTTCCAAAAATGTAAAAATGTATCTTTATGTCAATCCTCACTCTCTATTCCAAATAAACATCTAAGAAATAGGTTTTTCAATAACTCATTTAAAAGTATTTAATCATGCGTACCTACATCGGTATATCCAAGCCCTAAGAGTATATCCATGGGGAAAAGTAAATTGTGTTTTGTAATCATAGGGTATAATAATGCCATTTCCACAAGAATGGACACAAACTTGGGAAAACAGTACGAACGTATCATGTTTGTCTGAGGTTTCAGAGTCATACCAGGGAAAAACTGTGAGGGAGGGGAAGGAGAAGTGACAAATGGCGAGGGCAGTGCGGAACACGGAGCAGCTGGAACGAGTCATCCCCAGCCCCAGGACGGAGTTCAGGAAAAGCCTGGGAACTCAGACTCAACTCAAGAAATGAAAGCATTCTTTGTAAAATGCTTTCAAATAAGTGAAGATATATTACCTTTAAAAACACATAACACATGAAACAAATGCTGAAGAATTTTCCTAACAATGGAGAGTTTGCATTAATGACTAAAAAGCGCCAATCTGAAGACTTATCCATTCTATACCCTTTTGTAGGTTTTTACTAGTCTACCTCTCCTCATTACACTGAGAATTTCTTCGTAAATAGGTGGACTGTGAATTTCAAATCATTAGTCAAACACACACACAATTTCTGAATTTCCCAAAACCCAAAGTAATCATCAGATTTAGTAAAAGGACACGCCACCTTGCTCCCTTTCCTCAGATGAAACACTTTGCTCTAGAAACAACTAGAATATTTCAAAGCTGTTCACCCGTCACCTAACATTAGGCAATACACACCTTTTAGGGAAATAGAGGGCAGCAACTTCAGGTTCCAAAGCCTTTAAGTCATCTAGGTAAATATCATCAGGTCCCTGGTGCTGGCTTCTCTTGTGGACACCTGTTTTTATAAGAAAAACACAACAGAGGCACAGAGGTAAGAACTCAAGTTATTCTTCATTTACAGCTATGCAAGAAAACAAAAAGTCTGCAAACAGTAAAACCTACCATGATTCAGACAGGGGTTTACGTTTAGAGGTGTCAACTAACCTTACCACGTGTGTTGGATCTCATTCACCCATGCAATGCAAGAGCAATGCAGTTCTATAGAAGTAACAGTTGCTTAATAAACACAGGCTGGTTTATTCATTCTTTCATTTGCTGATACTTGGGTAATCCTAGATCCTAAATAATTTATATTTGATAGTGAAGTGTTTTTTTTTTTTTGTTTAATTTACAGGTAAGAACAAGCGAGACCAAACTTAATGCAATCACTTATCTCGAGAATGAAACTATTATCCCAAAATCACCAGTTGAAAGGTTGTTAAAGATATTCACATGGTGCCAAAGTATCAATCAACCCAGAGATTACATTCTAATTGCAAAAGGACAAAAATCCTTCATAATAGAGAAATCTGGCAGACAACATCTTAAACGAGTGATCAACTTTGCATCAATAGTGCGAGCATTATGAGATGCCATGCGAAGTACCCAATATGCCCCATAAAGTAACCTTTAATTAAAAACATAAAACATATTTAACCTCAAATCTAATTAAGCCTCTGGAGCTGTACCGCCCACTGCAGTAGCCACAAGCCACATGTGGCCAATGAACATCTGTCAGTGTCACTAGTCTGAACTGAGGTGTGCCAAACGTGTTAAAAAGCATGTAAAACACACACTGGATTTACAAGACTTATTATCAAAAAAGAAGGTAAAATATTTCAATAGTTTTTTACATTGATGACATGTTAAAATTATAATAAAGTCAGTGTCGTGTGTAGAGGGGAGAATGGTGTGTGTGTGGTGTTCTTAAAAAAAGATTAAAGAAACAAAAAAAAAAAATGCAACACGTGAACCTTGATGAGATCTTGGTTTTGGGAAAACAAACAACAACAAAAGAAACCAATACTAAAAAGATAATCTTGGTATATTTAGGGAAAAGTGAGAATGGACTGAATATTAAGATGATATTACTGATTTTCTTCAAGATGACATTACTACTGTGGTTATAAAGACAATGTTCTTATTCTTAGAAGGTGCATCTTGGGGAATTTGTGGTGAATGTCATGTCTCAACTTGTTTTCAAATGGTTTAAAATAATAAAAAGCTATGTTTGTGAATAGAAAGACAAAGAGCAAGAACACAAATATGCACAAAATTTTTCGTAACAAAAAAGTTGGGGGAGAAAAGAATGAGACCAAAAGAATGGTGGGAGACCACTCGGATTTCTCTATAGCCACGTCCTACACTATGGGCTAACAATGTTGGGATGTGGTGTGCTGTCGAGTGGATTCCAACTCACAGCAACCCTATACGACAGACTACAACTACCCCATAGGGTTTCTTAGGCTATAATCTTTGCAGGAGCTGATTGCCAGGTCTTTTCTCCTGCAGAGAGGCTGGTGGGTTTGAACCATAGACCTTTTTGGCTAGCAACCAAGTGCTTAACCATTGTGCCACCAGGGCTCCCTGAGCTAACTGAACAATACCTGTTGCTGTCGAGTCGATTCTGACTCATAGCGACCCTATAGGACACAGTAGAACTGTCCCATAGGGTTTCCAAGGAGCTGCTGGTAGATTCGAACTGCTCACCTTTTTGTTAGCAGTCGGATGCTTAACTACTATATGCATTCACCATAGCAGAACTGAACTTTTCCCCATGAACATTTCTTAGAGTAGAACAAATGGCCATGGGCTTTTGGCTTCAAAGAAGCACTGGGATCTGAAAAGAACAGGTGCCGAGGAAAGTGATAACCAGGTACACGATCTGATCGGACCACAATCACCTTGACAGTGATATTCTTTTTTTTTTTTTTTTTTTTAATGTTAAGTAAATTATTTGTGAGTGACCTTGGAAGTCCCTACTATAGCAGGTATTTATTAAGTCAGTTTGTGATGAGCTAACCTTTGGTACTGGAATTAAAAAAAAAAAGGTTATTTGGCTATGTGGGTATTTTGAGGTGAGGTTTTACTCCCTTAAACACAGCATCCAAGGCCAGTGTTCATACTGTGTGCTAACTCTTATTGTACCAAGTATGAATGGATAACTTCATATTTTTAAATACAAAGGACGTTCTGATTTATTAAACTTGTATTCTGAAAGTGAGATGGAGCTGTTGAACCAAGAGTAGGACCTATCTTCTTTCTTTTGGGGGAAATAATAACGAAAGAAGACAGCACGTACAATAATTACCTTTCATATTTTTATACTTCATATCATAGCAAAAAAAGTACTTGATAGGGCATATATTTACAACTGACCAAACAATTCAAATGTAACAGGGCCTTCGATTTGGCTTCAACTAACCAGGTATTTCAGGTGAGAATGTTTTTCACCATTCTTATTTTTTCTGTTATTCCATACCATTATTCAGGTTTCCACTTCACTTTATTGACATATTTAGTCAATATAATGGTTAATTTCACTCACTAACTAGTCAGAACACACTCATTTCTCAGTGCTTATCAAGGGCCTACCTAGTGGCAACAGTTGGGATACAGAAGTGAGGAAGTTAGAGTCCTGCTCCAATGGAATTTATAGTCTAATGAAAAGATATATTAAACAAGTAACCATAATAAAAGTGTGCAATATTTTCTGAGTGGGAAATACAAATACGTGGCTAGTCACCAACTACTCTGAAATGCTGAAATAATTTAGCACTGGAATTCAGAGTACCTAATGTCAACGCCAGTGGCCACAACAATGGACTCAAGAATACCAGTCATGGCACAGGGCTGGGTGACGTGTTGTTCTGTTGGACACGGGGTCGCCACGAGCTGGAGCTGACTCCATGGCAGCTGACAACAACGATGTCACATCAAACAAAACGATTACCTTTCTTCTTCGATGGTGAGTCTACTTTAGCTGCTGGTTTTAATTCTGAGGAAGCCTCCACTAGTGATGGGTTAGGAAGGTGGTCTGCATCTAACATAGATGAAATCTGAGTAGTCCCAGGAGGAGGTTCAAGAAGTTCCGCAGTGGATGTTGTATCGCTCATCTGCTTGCACAGAGCTCTGGGCCTGGGTTTCACTATGGTACAGACTGTGTCTTCCATGGAAGCGTCCTTCTCAACTTCACTCACAAGAGTGTCCTCGCTGGGAATTACCCGAAAATGGGTATTTTCTGATGGTGTAATTGTAGCTGTACTAGGATGATGGTCAGATCTCTCTCGTTTGCTGACCTAAAAAAAAGTTGAATTATAATGGTTTAAAAATAAAAACTAGTTTCAAAGGTGTCTGTTATATAGTAATCTATTTCTTAAGCTGGATGCAGGTAAATGCATCCATTTTACTATTTATAGCGTATATGTTCATTAAAAATATTATTTTGTATGTAGGAAATACAAAAATTGGGAAAAGCTAATAACTGCATTTTGTTTAGTATCATAATATTTATAAGAGTTATATTTATAACTGTTCTACACGAAGAGTTGAACACTAGAGAAGACTATGAGAAAATAATGACAATTTTTAGCTACTGAGAGGTAGAGAATATTCATGTTGAGGGAGAAAACTTAAAATGCTAAACTATCAAGTTTCAAGCCCCCCCACCTCAAGGCTCTGTTAAAACAATGTAAAAGTGGGAAGTAAAGTGTAAAGTCAATTGTACGTTAAAAAAAATGTTTATTTTTATAAAAAATGAAATTAAATAGCAGGTCTAAACACTTTCTCTTTCAAGAAATTTATCCTCCTAGTTCTTTCTTCTCTCACTATGAGCTGGCAAAAAGCTTTCATCATCAACTTTCTGTTTAAAAGTTCAATGTGGAAATCTTGGCTTCCTTCAAGCATCTTTTAAAATTTCCTTATATTGCCAATCAACAGATTTTTGACAGAAACAAAATGATACTGGATACCTTCTGTGGCAAACATTATGCAATGTTAACTTTGGATTTCTTATATGACCACATGAGGGCACTACTGTCATTTATATTCATGTTTGCTCAGTCAGAAAACAGCGCCCTTTACTTATGGAGGGTGGGATTCTTTACAGATTTTTAACAATGTGGGCAAACAGGCCTGAGTACCTTGGTGGACTCTGGGAACCCGCCCCATGTCCACTCCATGTGAGACTCAGATCTGAGCAGGCTCTCGACAGGCTTCACCTCCAGCTCCGAATCACTCTTAGGACACATCGCCTGGGAATAGGTGCTGCAAACACAAGAACAGGGCAATGTGATGACTTAAAAATTTAGGACACCTTTAGCCTTGCTGATCTCAACAGATTAAAAGTAACATACAGTTTGAATAGATCAACTTTATCCTGCAGATATAAAGATGCTACTGAAGGGAACACCAATTATTTCTATTTGAGTTCTTTTAATAAAAACAACGTAGACTGGTATTTATTAAGGACTTGCCAGGTCCTCTGTAAACATTTTATTGCATTATCTCATTTGATTCTTATTAGAAATCAATGAGGAAGATAATGTTAAAGGAGACAAAATGCACATAAAGATGGGTTAAATTAATGTAACTACTATGTGAGAGCAACCAGGTGTGAACACAGAGTAAACCAAGTATCTGTACACATCTTTTCACTATATCATCCACAGTTAGAGTCAACAGTTGATACCGAAAGATTAGAATTTAGAAACTGCAGATGGGCCAAAACCTATGCTGACTATACAGATCTACACTGGCTGCCAATGTTCGAGTAAGTCAGATCAAGTTTGGGAACAAGATAATTACTGAAAGTAGAAGTAAACATTCAGTTCCTCTACGTTTAAGAGAGAAACGGGAAATACCATTACAGCTGATAACAGAAAAGCTATTTGATATATCCTTCCTTAAAAAAACAAGGAATTTAAAAAGACTTACTTGTCCAAAGGAGACCAATCTCCATCAGATAAGGGGTAGTGATCCCCAGAATGGAAGATCAAAGGCTCCTTATATTCTTCTTCCTTCAAGGAAGCATTTGAAGATCCTCTGTGAATGGAAAAAACAAAGAAAGGCAGGAACAATGACATGTCAGCTTTAAAATATCCCCCAAACCTACCGACACACCGTCTAAATGGTAAAAATGAAAAAGGCCAAATGATTACTAACTCTATTACAAGAAAAATATGATGGAGAAGGGGGGTTCACCCATGTCTTACACCACACGATACTCCAACCACGATTTAAATATGGGATAAAAAGAAGGACAGAAAGCAAGATGTGATTAAAAATGCCTTCAGGGGTAACTGATTGAAAGGCTAGGAGAAAGAACTAGGGCTTTAAGTACACTTCATTGAATCCTTACAAATCTGAGGTAGCAACAGATCATTTTAGATATGAGGAAATCCAAGATCCAGAGAAGTTTAACGATTTGCCCAAAGTCAAAAAGCTAGTCAGTAGTTGGATTCAAAACCAGTCTGCGTGGAAAGCCCTTATTCGTTCACTACACTCCCCCATATATTATAAAAAATATCAGCGGAGGACTAGAGCTATGACTCAAAAATTCCAAACTACACCAAACTCTTAAAACCGCTGGACTTATTTTTTCTTTCTTTGGCCCAGGGTTTATCTGAGAGTTTTTTTGACAAAGTATATATAATGTGGAGATGTGAGGAAGGTAATATAAAATTGTGATAAATGTTTTTAAAATTCATACACAGACCTTGGAACTGTAGGAAGCTGAACTAACGCTAACAAGGACTTAATTTACCCACTGATTTTCTTTTATCTGCAGAGCTAATATAACTAATTGCTATATATATAACATTGAAAACACCCCCCAGAAGCACTGTGGGTCCCAGTTTTTCATCTTTAGTTGAAAATTTATCACTTATCCTGCCTATTTCAATGGCTGATGGGAGATTTATGTGGTGTATGCTGTTGAAAGCTCTCAAAAATATAAAGTGTATGTTTTATATATATACATATATACACACACACACATATATAAACCTCTGCGAAGTATAAAGCACTATACTATCCAAGTTTAAGAGCTTCTTACAGAGAAGTCATTGTTCTAACAGAATAGACATTAAACCTAAAATGAGAATATCTGTATCACTTAATTTGGTGGATTAAAATAGGATAGAAACCAGATTATTATTTTCTTCCTATCTTAGTTATCTTACTTTAATAGACTCTGCTTTACCACTAACTCTGACACAATAGTTTTTCCACACAGCTGCATCCCTTAATTTAAGGTTTCCTAACTCTAATCTTCTTTCTCACTGAAAGATTATACTCTGGTATACAACCTCATTCACAGGGAGAAAAATACATACTTGAGCAAGGCAGACATCTAAATAAAAATACTCTATTTGTTAATAAAGGAAAATCAAATGGGGAAAACCAGATGCTTGTGCAAGTCCTTATTTGTCAAATATGAAAGGACTACAGCTTGACCAATTCATGTATGTGAAAGGGGTTAGAAGCCACAGATATTTTTATATTAAAACTTTTATTTTTGGAACTGATTTCACTGCAGTATAAAAAGGTAAGACAAGAAAAGTTCAGCAAAGCAAACTGGATTTGGTAAAACACTAAAAGAGAGATGAAGCACTGCTAAGAATTTCTAACCCCAGGAAGATATGGAATGGTCTCCTCTAGGCCCGTTAGAATGAGGGAGGTTTCTGATACTGAGGTTCCTTTCCTCCTGTGATTCCTTTATTAAAATAGGATTTCTAAAAACCTGTTTTGGCACTTTTTAAAAACTGGCACGTATGCCCGAGAATAGGGGACCAGCTAGGGAGACCATAACATAGTAACTTAAGTATCTGAGATGAGGATGTAAGGGTGCATACATCAGAATGTGAAGAAAATAGTACAAACACTGATTATACCTAGGTTAAAACACACGACAAATATAAACATTAAAAACACTGAGCAGAAGAAGAGCTGGAGTAGGGTGAGTAGGTCAGCGTTCAGTCGGGGCTTGGGGTGGGGGGTCACGGCTGCTGAAATTCATAATCAGGGCATATAAAGCACTTCAGCTCTCACAGACGCACCTCAACGTCAGACGTCTTCACGTTCCACACCATTCCGTAAGCCAACATTTTCCCATTCAAAAAACAACAGAGGTGACATGGATGTATACAACTGTCAAAATTCATTTTGACAACTGTGACTGTTACGTGTATACTTAAGATCTGTGACTACTATTGTATGTAAATTACAAATCAATTTTCAAAAGTGAGCAAACAAATCAATAGAAGTTAAAATATACATAACCTGAATTACTCATGTGGGATGAATTATATGAGTTTTAATGCATTTAACTGGTGTATGTAAAAGATAAATGGAGTTGTTAACTACCATGAACAAAGATGACTAATTCTGTTAATTTACTGATCTGCAACCCACAGAGGACACAGTATTAGTCAATACTTTTCAGTGTGGTTAATGATCTAAGTTTGTATTTGGATATAGGACATTTCTCATAAAAGATATTTTGCAAGAGGAGTGAAAGAAGTCCTGCAAAGTTTTTCTGTCACTATGTCAGAAACCTTGATGTTGAGTTGGGGGACTTGCAAACCATGCAGGTCCATACTCTCATTTTACAGATTAAGAAATGAAGACCATGCATGATCAAAAGGCTACCGCTCCACCATGAGAACAGAAGGGGCCCAGTATGTCTATTGTTTAGCTCAGCGCATCTTCCATTTTTCGACCTGAACTCTCATGACTGGTTTTTGTTTTTTTAAATTTCCACTGGCTGCACAGTCAAGCAGACTCTGCTTTAAGGTGGCAGCATCTATAATTCACTGGTGACCTAAAGAAAAGCAAACCACCAAGCTCCTGAAAATTATTACAAAGCCCTCACGTTCTGACATTCTCTGCTTACCAAGCAAGCAAGGTTCTGGCTCAGAGAGATAAGCTGTCAACCTTCCTAACTGTGGACCAAAAGTTTTAGACGCTGCAGCTTTTCACACAATCTGGAAAATTAATATTTCTGCAATGTATTCACTTATAATGTTCATTTACAAAATTCCTCTAGAATAACAATTCTTGTGCATTTAGTAGGTGATTTTGCTGTTTTAGAAATGTTCAAACTTCCCAAGATGAAGCTGCAGTTTGCTTAGGAATTCTAAACTTTTGTTTCATTATGTTAACAAAGGACACATGTCAACAAAAAGTGATCTGCTTTGGAGGCAAAAGTGTTACTTCAGTGTCTTTTTTGGTGGATCTTGAAAAAATTTTAGTTGGCAAAAAGATTTTCAGGAACTAAGGCACTTCGGAGAGCAGTAGCATGCTGATTCAAATAAACTTTAGATGTGTGTGTACTGCAAGGTTTTTTCTAAAAGATGACACATTTCTTGTTCAGCTACACATTTTACTGTAAATAAGACAAAACTTTTAAAGGAATTATTTACACTGTTCTTAACAGGCCTGAAATCAAGCGAAGATTCTCCCAGTTTATTCTTCTAGAGAAGGCAAGAATAAATAACCCTTAGGAGATGAAAGAAAAAAAAATGAAGAGAAGGAACCAATGATATAAAATGTGAAGTTTACAGAATTTATAATTGAGCATTTCCCAACTAGTCTCTGGATACTGACAAAAAAAAAAAAAATCTAGGTTTGTTGATTTATTCAGGATTTTTAAATTGTATAGGTATAGTTTATATTGATCTGTTGAGTCTAATGTACTTATTTCACTATCTTTTGTTAATTCCAACAGAGGAATTCTGCATTCTATCAGAACTGAAGTCTAACACATTTCTTCAATGTGGGAAGAGTAAGAATATAACAGACGTGACAGTTGATGGGTAGTAAAAGACAACGGTGGAAAAACAATTCACATATTAAAAATTACTATCAAATGTAGGATTTTGTTCCTGGATAAGATTTTAGAAAATGAGTTAACAGTTTTATCAAAAGGGATTCTTATACAACGTTATTCATGAATTTCTTTTTCCTTATTTGACCATTTAAAACAAAAGCTTGGTAAATAAAATTCATAGATCAAAGTAGAGTTAGAAGAAATTATTTCCCCCCTTCTCTATCATAAAGTTTAACAGCACTAATTTCCCAGGAAGCAGGGCATGATCTGTCTTTCGGCAGTTGGGGAGAAAACACACCATGGACCAGCATCTACCTCATAAAGCTACTCAAAGCCTCCTCCCCCGGTTCAAATAAAAGGTTTAGAAACACAGAGTGGTCATTTCTGGGCAGCAGCTTCTACTCCAATGGTGAAGAGAACCACCCACTGAAATGGGTACAGTCCCTTAGGAAAGGGCAACCACTGAAGGGAACAGGTGTAAGATAATTTTTTAAAAAATCTTAAGTAAAAAAAATGTATCTTCCATCCCCAACTGTTATCTATTAAACCCCAGGTAGTACTGACTTGAAAATGGAATACCTTTTTTTTTTTTTACTGTGTATTTCCATTTATTTGAAGATCAAGAACCAACAAAAGTAATCTAGAGTTAATCAGAGCAGTGCTGGCCTCTAGTGGGGAAGAAGACAGACTGCAAAGGGACAACTCATTCCTAGAGTGATGGAAATGCTCAGTATCGTGATCTGGCAAATGAGCACACACATATATACTTAAGATCTGCATATTATACCTCAATTAAAATGTAATATTTTACATTTCAAGTGTTATTTTAATAACAAGTCAGTTATGTGCATTTGGACACCCAGTGTGTTCCCACTGTGGACTGTTTACTCTGCGCTGCCGTCATTAATCCTCCGACTACACTCAGCAGGCACTTTATTGTTCCACTTCACAGATGGCCAAGCACACATACAAAACAGCTGAACCGTCTGCCTGTGGCCTGCCGAGCGGTCAGTTAACGAGGGCATCTGACCTCTTCAACACCCCGCTACCTGACCTAGGCCTGTGCTGGCCAACGGGAACCAGGCGAATCAGACCCAAATCTGTCCTCAGTCGGATACATTTTGAGCTCTTCTACTGATTTGGTAAGTAAGTCATGATCAAGATTTCTCAATTACAAAAAAAAAAAAAAAAAAACTCCTTCCAGTTCAACTTACTAGTATGTTTCGGTGATAAAACAAAAACTCTCAACTTCTCAGGAACAGGTGAGATACCCAGCACTGGGCAGAAAAATACCACAACCGATGTTGTGCTCACCCATGGGTAAATCACTAATTCAGATCTTCGTTGTAATTAACTATTTCTGGAAACTTACAGGATGAAAAGAGGCACATTCCAGTGTTTGCTACAAATGACATTTTAGTACAACGGCACAAGGTCTGATGGCAAATTTTTTAAAGTTGCAGAAAGGAAAAAAGAAAATGCCAGCTCCACTTGATTTCACAATAGACTGTCAAGGGGAAAAATAAGTCCAAACTTCATACTACACATCCGTACAAGGAACTTCTCACTTTACCTTAGTGCTACCCAGCAAGTGCACAGCCTAGAAACGGCACAAAATACCACCCTTCTTTCCCAGCTGCGAGCTCTACCTGGCTGACTGGGCTCCCTTCTCATCATCTGAACTTCTATCCACAGCAAATGTGTCTTCCGCAGCAGGAGAAGCAGCTTGATCTTCCTTCTTACTGTCTTGCTTGCATTTCTTTCTCCTACGTTTTTTCTTTTTCAATGAACCCGGAGTGAAAATTGTCTCTGTTTCCAAGATGTGTGAGATGTCTGAACTCTGAGGTAATCTTTCATTTCCACCTGATTTCATCAAAAGGGGGTCAGTATCTTTAAAGAATTGATCTTCAGTAGGAATTGGTGAGGTGGCAAGGTAAGCAGGAAGCTTTTCCTTAAACAGAACAAGGAAAAACAAAAGTTACCATGACAAAAGGGTACAGTGAAGTATCTACATTTCAGTGGTAGGAAAAAATACATTTTCCCTAATGGTAAGAAAGACATTTCAACTAAGCTACTGTGTGCTCTACACTGAATAAATCTTTACCCTGTTATACACAGCTCAGCGTTAGCTCATTTCGCTACATGTAATTAAATAAATTTGGAAGAACTGATATACTAAGTGAGCGTGAAACACAAAAATGCTATAATTAAAGCAGAATCTATTAAAATCGCTGTAAAGAGAAGTTCAAAGCAGCAGCAGCAGCATTCAGAGGCGGCTTTACAAAGGACTGTCAAGAACTAAGACAAGTAACGACAGGATAAAGCAGAGGGCAAAGATTAAGAATACTGCATCAGACAAAGGACAGCAGAACACGTAAGTGAAGTAAGGAGCCCCGGTAAAATTCAGAGTGGTTAATGCTTATGTTTTGTGAAATTAACTGAGGGTGGAGGAAGGTAGTTATAACAGACATTCTGTAACAAATGAAATTGGGAATTGGAAAGCAAATAAGGCCCTATATTTAGAAATTATTAAACTCTTAATTTAACATTGGTGTTCAGTAAATTAACTTCTTACTCGTGTTTCATTCCTTGTATCATAGGGGGGAAATGGAAGGTAATTAACGGAGATATACATTAACCTGAAATAATTTAGACTACAATAGTTTTTCACACAACAGTCCTGAAAACGTGTGGGTTTCCATCGTTTTTGATCAAGCTTTTGGATTGGCTTTGTGAACATGTCACCCTGAAGTTTCATTTACCCAAGCAGAATTTGTGTTCGCCAGCAACACAACAGAGAAACTGCACTGACAAAAACATTATTCTGCATGCAATAGGGCATCAACAATGCCTTTCAATTCTATGACCTTTCAATTCAATGGTCTTTGTGATAAAGTTTACTTGTATGTCTTGGAGCCATTTTGTCTCTGGTAGTGTTTCCTGTATCTATTCTGGGTTGTATACCTTATTTCTTCTGATTTAAAAGTTTAAGGCTCAGCATGGATTGTACCTAAAGTAAACGCCTAGAATATGAATTATCACACATTGTTTATCTAGAGTAATGGTGCCTGCAATTGGGATTACACTCCATTGTGTATGTATCATGCACACTTGAGAGTCAAAGTTTGACTAGACGGAACTAAGAAAATTTAATGTCTATGACAAGCAGTCTGGTTACCTACAAATTATCAAAAGCAAAGTACTTAGCAACCCCACTTAAGAATCTGTTCTATAGGGGGAAAATGCATAAGAACATAGGGAAGTATGGATAAGGATGGTTATTATAGCATTGTTTGCACCAGGGAAAACAGACATAACCCAGATGTCTAACAGTAAGAAAATGGGTAAATAGTGTTATATACGTACCACGGAATATTAAAAAGGACAGAGTTGTGTCTAGAACTACTGATCTGAAAGGGATATTGATGGTGTATAGTTAAATGAGAAATGTTCAAGAGAAACAAAAAGTAAATAAAAGAAAGCCAGATGGGTTTTTTGCTCATTTTTAATCCCTGTCTAAACTGTGAGCTCTTGAAGAGCGTGGGCTGTGTTTTATTCACAGAATGTGGCACGTTGTTGAGGTGCTGTCAAGTTGCTTCCAACTCACAGTGACCACAGAATCCTTACAATTGTTGCTATGTTTGAACTGACCATTGCAGCCACTGTGTCAATCCATCTCACTGATGATCTTCCTCTTTTTCGTTGACTCTCTACTGCACCAAGCATGATGTCCTTCTCCAAGGACTGGTCCCTCCTGATAACATGTCCAAAGTACATGAAAGGACGCCTCCCTATCTGTGCTTCTAAGGAGCATTATGGCTGTAATTCTCCCAAGACAGATTTGTTGGTTCTTCTGGCAGTCCATGGTATATTCAATATTCTTCGTCAACACCATAATTCAAAGGCATCAATTCTTCTTCGTTCTTCCTTATTCACTGTCCAGCTTTTGCATGCATATGAGGCGAATGAAAACACCATGGCTTTGGTCAGGAGCACTTCAGTCTTCAAAGTGACATTTTTGCTTTTTAACAGTGAAAGAGGCCACTTTGCAATGCGTTGTTTGATTTCTTGACTGCTGCTTCCATGGGTGTTGACTGCAGATCCAAGTAAAATGAAATCCTTGACAACTTCAATATTTTCTGTTTATCATGATGTTGCTTATTGGTTCCATTCTGACAATGTGTTTTCTTTTATGTTGGGGTATAATCCATACTGAAGGCTGTAGTCTTTGATCTTCATCAGCAAGCGCTTCAATTCCTCTTCGCTTTCAGCTAGCAAGACTGTGCCACCTGAATATTACAGGTTGCTAATGAGTCTTCCTCCAATCCTGATGCCTCTTGTTCTTCATATAGTCCAGCTTCTCGGACTATTTGCTCAGCACGCAGACTGAATACAAACGTAGAAGAATAGAGCCTTGACACACATCTTTCTGATTTTAAACCACGCAGTACCCCCTTGTTCTGTTCAAACAACTGCTTCTTGGTCTACGTACAGGTTCCTCATGAGCACAATTAAGTGTTCTGGAATTCCCATCCTTTGCAACGTTATCCATAATTTATTATGATCCACACAGTCAAATGCCTTTGCATTAGTCAATAAAACACAGGTAAACATCTTTCTGGTATTTTCTACTTTCAGCCAAGATCCATCTGACATCAGCGATGAAATCTCTCATTCCATGTCCTCTTCTGAATAAGGCTTGAATTTCTGGCAGGTTCCTGTCGATGTACTGCTACAACCACTTTTGAATTATCTTCAGCAAAGTTTTACTTGTATGTGATATTAACCATATTGTTCAATAATTTCCACATTCTGTTGGATCAGCTTTCTTTGGAATGGGTACAAATATGGGTCTCTTCTAGTTAGTTGGCCAGGTAGCTGTCTTCCAAATTTCTTGGCATACAGTGAGCACTTCCAGCATTGCATCTGTTTTTTGAAACATCTCAGTTGGTATTCTGTCCATTCCTGGAGCTTTCTTTTTTGCCAATGCCCTCAGTGCAGCTTGGACTTTTTCCTTCGGTACCATTGGTTCTTGATCATACGCTACCTCCTGAAATGGTCTGATGTCAACCAATTCTTTTTGATACAGTGATTCTGTGTATTCCTTCCATCTTCTTTTGATGTTTCCTGCGTCATCCAATATTTTGTCCATTGTATCCTTCAATATTGCAACTCCAGGCTTGAACTTTTTCTTCAGTTCTCTCAGCTTAAAGAATGCTGAGTGTGTTATCCCTTTTGGTTTTCTATCTCCAAGTCTGTGCACATTTCATTATAATACTTTACTGGCTTCTCAAGCCACCCTTTGAAATCTTCTGGTCAGCTCTTTTCAAGAGCAAGTTTCAGAGTCTCTTCTGACATCCATTGCGGTTTTTTTCTTTCTTTCCTGTCTTTTTAACGACATTTTGCTTTCTTCATGTATGATGCCCTTGATGTCATCCCACAACTCTTTGTGGTCTTCAGTCATTAGTGTTCAATGCATCAAATCTGTTCTTGAGACAGTCTCTAAATATAGGTGGGATATACTCAAAGTTGTACTTTGGCTCTCATGGACTTGTTTAATTTTCTTCAGCTTCAACTTGAACTTGCATATGAGCAATTGATTGTTCCACAGTCGGTCTCCGGCCTTGTTCTGACTGATGACACTGAGCTTCTCCATTGTTTCTTTCCACAGATGTAGCTGATTTGATTCCTGTGTATTCCATCTGGCAAGATCCACATTTATAGTCCCAGTTTATAAGTTGTCAAAAAAAGGTATTTCGAATGAAGAAGTCATTGGTCTTGCAAATTTCTATCATGCAATCCCCAGCATTGTTACTATCACCAGGGCCGCATTTTCAAACTATTGATTCTTCTTGTTTCCAACTTTCCCATTTCAATCACCAGTAATTATCAATGTATCTTGATTGCATGTTTGATGAATTTCAGACTGCAGAAGTTGGTAAAAATCTTCAATTTCTTCATCTTTGGCATTAGTGGCTGGTACATAAATTTGAATAATAATCGTATTAACTGGTCTTCCTTGTAGCCATATGCATACCGGCAGCATTGTACTTCAAGATATATCCTGAAATGTTCTTTTTGACAATGAATGTGACGCCATTCTCCTCTTGAATTTGTCATTCTTCGCATAGTAGACCATATAATTGTCTGATTCAAAATAGCCAATACTGGTCCATTTCAGCTCACTAATGCCTAGGACATCAATCTTTATGAGTTTCATTTCATTTTTGACGATTTCCAATTTCACCAGATTCATAGTTTGTACATTGCACGTTCCAATTATTAATGGATGTTTGCGGCTGTTTCTTCTCATTTTGAGTTGTGCCACATTAGTAAATGAAAGTTTTGAAAGCTTTACTCAATCCACATCATTAACGTCGACTCTACTTTGAGGAAGCAGCTCTTCCCAGTCATATTCTGAGTGCCTTCCAATCTGAGGGGGTCCTCTCCCGGCACTGTATCAGACAATGTTCCGCTGCCATTCATAAGGTTTCACTGACTAATATTTTTAGAAGTAAACCACGAGGTCCTTCTTTCTAGTCTGTCTTAGTCTGGAAGCTCCTCTGAAACCTGTTTGCCATGTATGACCCTGCTGGTATTTGAAATACCAGTGGCATACCTTTGAGCATCACACGCAAGCCACCACAGTACGACAAACAGACAAGTGGTGGAAAATGTGGCACGGTGTAGTAAAATTCAAAGGTATATTGAATGAATTAACACATTTTTTATTTTTAAAGAGAAGTATAATATATTAGAGAAAAACTGGTCAATTTGGTTATAACTGGTAGGGAAAAAAGGCTGGGGAGTTGAGTCTCCAAGCTGATCCTGCTAAATAATAGTTCTTAATGGAATCAGAATAGGCCACTAAAAACTAGATAGGTAATAAACCGTCAATAACCCAGTCCTCTCAATGTATTTGTTGATGTATACAAAGCCCAACCAGTGTTATGGATTATATGTGATTTTAAGAAACACATCAAGAACGTTTTATCCTGTGACAACTGTCATTTATTATGTTTCCTTTTGCCCTCTGCCTCTGATGAGCGAAACTTTTGTTTAGGCCAAGTAAATGTAAATAAGGTAATATAATAAAAACAAGTAGGTAAGATACTATGAAAATCACTTGTTTAGTAAGGTGCCCCTTCATAAATTATACTGTTTTAATGCTGCTTTATATACTGGTACCTATGTTGATGGCTCCTCTCTTAACTTAAAAACGATAAACATAATCTCATTCTACTATTTTTTATTTTTGGTGATTTTTTTCTTTGTGAATTTATAACACCAAACTGGCAGTTCATCTTCAAAACCAAAAAAAGTATTCCTCTGCCCTTAATAAGTTGAAGCTTTTCATTTTTGCCATCTGAGATTTTATTATTTATAGAGAAAGATCCATAATACCATCTGTGAATTTAAAAAAAAAAAAAAAAAAAGGTTCACACTAGATTCAACAGGAACTGTTTATTACCATTCAAATCAGCAGATAAATAGGATTGGGGGGCAGGGGGCTGGAAGGTGGGGACAAATCGTGCTTTCTTGATGAAAGAAGCTGAATATTAGTAATAATTTGTGAGTATAGGCCAATTAATTTAATTCATTTGGAGACCGTAATAAATTAATTCAGGGGACTATTCCAGGTTTATCCCTAACCATAACAGTAAACATGTTTTCCAAGTTTAAAGACCATATGCATAAAACACACACTCTGAAGAGATATGCTTTGATCAGTCAGGTGGAACTGAACATATTCAGCCGAAGTATAAGTTGTGATAGACAGTAAATAGGAAAGCACATTAAAGTCAGAGAAAAGATGTGCTTTCCCTTGTAAAAAGGGCCAGCACAAAGGCCTTCTGCTGGCTACCTGTAACCTGCAGCTTAGTGTCGAGAAAAGTTCCCCATTCTTCCAACTCCTTTCTGACAGTTTAATATTTTAACCTAAAACTAAAGTCTTTCTAACCAGCAACAACCCTTTATACAACCAAACATTTAAACTGCTGAACATCTCTGTTTTGGGAGATGTACCGCAGGCCTGAGTACAATGTGTTAAGTGGACCCACTAGAACTTACATATTCTTCTTCAGTCTCCTCCACAAAGAAAGCTTCTCCATTGTCACCTAATTTCATGTGAAGATCCACTGCATCGCCATTGATTTCTATATCAATCTAAGGAGAGAAACAAAGTGTGATTTAGCACGAAAAATCTTTCATTCAAGCTAAACTAAGTCTGAATTTTGGGCTCTTAAGCCAAGTGAAGTATTCAGGTTCCCTAGAGCTACAGCCCTAGAGACATTGCTACTTGCCCCACTAATAAAATACCCCTACTTAGACAAATGGACCTTGGGGGATAATAAGCAGGGACTGAAAGAAAATGTTTTACCATCTATTTTTATAACACATAAAAATTTTGTATTTAATTTCCCAATTCTAGTAAAATATGGGAAATGTCACTGTCAACAAACATTGAGCATTTTCAGAGTTATAATACAAGCAGGGCTTGCCTTGCACAGCTCAGACATGCACAAATTTCAGTTACCACCATGTATTAACTGTGAGTAGCTGCACAAAGTACAAACTTCACTGCTAGCTCTTCTATCCACAAATCAGTATGTATATAACAGATGACCAGCATGCCCATTGACCAGTCTTGCTACTCCTTTCAAAGCTGTCTGTGATCGGTCACTGTGCAGCTGTTACTCAGTTCATACACAGGCAGCAGAGTGTGTAGCTGTGTTGCTTCCCTGTCTCCAAGTGATAAACCCATGTGTCATTTTATAAACATGGATAATAGAAAATGGACCCAGAAAGATGACTACTCCTGTTTCTTGCAGAGAAGTAAGATGCTTAATTGTCACTGTTTCTAATATTTTAAATTGCAGTGCACTAAGTTTTACAATTTTTTTCATCCCCCTATAAATAAGGAAGGTGTCCTGGTGATGCAGCTGCTAACCAAAAAAGCTGGCAGTCTGAACCCACCAGCCAATCCACGGGAGAAAGAAGTGGCTTTCATGAAGAAAACCCTACGCAGTTCTACTCTGTCCTATAGGGTCGCTGTGAGTTGGAACTGACTTGACAGCAATAGGTTTTTTTTTTGGTTTATCACTTACAAAATAATGCAGCTGTCTATCTATAAGCTGTAAAAAAATACTTAAAAGGTTATAATAATAAACAAACATTAATTTTCAAAACTCTTATGGATAAATTTTAAACTCCAGTTTTAAACTGTTCAGGGGCTATAGAGATGGAAAACAGAAGTCTGGAATCTAAACGTGCTTAGCTCTGCAGGGCCTCTATGGTGGAAACAAACTGCACGGTCAGCTGGGCTTTTCCCCGTGATGACCACTTATCCCTCCTGACTAGACACTGAGTGCTGGCTCAGGTCTGGTCACTAAAGGCAGCTCTATCTTCCCAGCAGCCAAGTAACAACGGAATAAGTAACACCACATTTAAAAAAAATTTTTAAATTGGCATATTTTGTCAAAATGCTTGTTATAAAAATCCTTTGTATAAAAAATTCCTATATAATTTAACAAATGTTAACAAAATGATTTCTATTTTGTACTTTTTTTTATTGTAAAAGAAAAAGCTGCATAAATCAGTTTCCATAGGAGAAACATTAACTCTAATTCATTTTCCAGTCAGCCTTCATAATGCTTGACATTACTGTGAATACTTACTGCTAAGAAAAGCTGAGTAAGACATGAAACCTCCAACTCTTCTAAAACCAAGTACTGCAATAAATTCCTAGGCTAAGGAAAAATATACTTTCAGATAAGTTTTTAATATCTTTTTCACAATAAACTGGCAGAAGTCAGTTAAGTATCTACAGTCATCTACGATTTCTGAAGCAGCTGCAATAAGAGTAGCTTCTTCTACAATCAAAGGAAGAATGTTTTCTAACTTAAAGTTATATGAGAACTAAAAAAAAAAGAAAGTTTATAAGTAGGGAAAAACTAAATTAGACCCATAATCCCATATTTTAAGTTTCTTAGGGTGACTTAAATAAAGTATTCGATTAAGTTTATTCAACTAAGTTGAGTGTATAAAATAATTAAAACAATTTTTGTTTATTGATTTGGTGTATAAACTTTGCTTAGGTTAAATTAAACAACATAAATGAAATATTTAACGTTATTTTATTTTTAATAAAAAGTATAACCAATTAGTATCATCCTACAAAATGTCTATCTTCAGGAACTACATTTATCCAAAGAAGCTGGAAAAATGGAATAATGTTGCTTCAGGATGTAAATTCAGAGTCTCTCTAAAAATCATCTTAGAAAATTAGCCCTTTATAATCACTCCTTTTAGGTACAATATATAACATTTCTCAATATGACTACTTATTTCATTCTATTGACTTGACTTAGAATGGATTTTGGTTCTTGTGACAAATTAAGCCTGACATCAAATTGTACCAATATTGAGGAGACTTAAAAGAACATGCAATGAGCTCTTAGGCAACAAAGAAAAAATATTCCAAAAATATTTCAAAAAACAGCATCAAGCTGAAGTAGTGCTTCCCAAGGTGATTACTTTAAGGAGGCTATCCATTTTCATGTATTAAATTCTAGTAAAATGGTTTCTAAAATAACCACTTATTTCCAGTCATACTTGCCACATAGTGGCTTAATCTTGCTCAATATACATGACTGACATGTTGAAATGCAAGTTTGATTCTGAGAAATACTAGATACAGCAGACACTTGCTCTGGCCTGCCACTCTTTGGGTAAGGACATCTCCAGTGTCCTTTAGGGGATCTAATCCTCCTCCATTTCAGACTATATATTTCGGCTGTGGCTTCAGTGAGTAGGAGAGGGGGCTACTGTCCGAGCCAGGCCAATCAATATAGTCATTCCACCTCCAGCTACAGTGACTGGTCTTTGAGATGGTTATGTGAGCCAAGTCTGACAGGGAGACCAAATGCTGGTACTTCTGTAGGAAGAAGCTCTCTTCATAATGGGATTATTGAGTAAATGGTGGCCATCGTGCAGAACTAACACAAAGGGAGGCAGAGCTGAGAGATGGGGAAGAGATAGTTCCGGTAACACCTTCAGAGCTTTGATATAGCTCTGACTAAATAAATTCCTTTTTGCTTAAACTAGTGTGGAATGGGTTTTTGTCATCTGCAATAAAACTAGTCCTAATACATTGGTTTATTTAACTTTGATAAATAATCAAACCATTGCTTTTGTGTTAAATAAGCAAAATTAATACTGAAATCAAGTGCAGGCTGTTAAGAAATATTCTACAAGTATTAGTGTTCCATCAAACAAGAGCACACTAATGGCAGTGGGAAAATCATCTATAACCAGCAATTTTAAGGTGGCTATGATTTCAAGTCCACGTCCTAGGTGTTACCATATTTGAAAATCTGGAGCCCTGGTGGCATAGTGGTTAAGAACTATGGCTGCTAACCAAAAGGTTGGCAGTTTGAATCTACCAGCTGCTCCCTGGAAACCCTATGGGGCAGTTCTATTCTGTCCTATAGGGTCACTATGAGTCGAAACTGACTCGATGGCAACAGGTGTGGTTGTTTTTGGTTTTAGTTTAAAACTAAAGAATAGCTTTCTCTAACCCAAACCAACCTGAAATAAGACAAACAGCTGACTGCAAATCACCAGAATATCTCAAGGCAGACGTGGTTTCAGTTTTACCCTGACACCAAAGTTGTGTTTTGGTGAATTAAACAGTCCAATTTCCTTCCAAACATGTTTTTTGGGTTTTTGGGATACCAAGGGAAGGAGTAGAAAGAAGAAGAAATTCTCCCTTTTCTTGTGTCTCATGGATGGAATCTGATTAAAAATCCAAGGGTTTTACAAGGTATTTAACACACCATTTGTGTAGCCTTGTACAGAAATTAGTTTCTAAATTAGAGGCAGACGGCACGTAGAAAGGCATGTTATCCACTCAGGCACTAGCTTGCAGTTTCCATTCTGAAGGGTCAGAAGACTTAGCCAATCCAATCAAAAACCCAGATCACAGCAAAGAAATAACGCCTTCGAAGCGGTTTTACAAAAAGATTCCTGTAGTACAACTAACGGAAAAATTCAGTGAAAAAGTTTACTGATCCCCCCAAACAGATCTAGTCTAAAAGCACTATAGGTTAGTATTACCAGAAAGAAAGAAAAAAAAAAAAAGATCCCAAAGAAGTGAAACTGCGGCTAGACAACACCGCTTTGCGATGGAAGTTCCCAAGTCAATAAAATTACAACTGCTTTTGGTTTTGTAAGGGTTAACGCTGTGGTTCAGCACAGCTCTGAAGAGAGGCCAGACCACGCGAAGCCTGCCATCCCTTAGATGGGGCTCTCCAGTTGAAAACAGATTTTGTAACAACTCCTAGAAATAAGATCATGTTTTATCTGGGGGAAAAAAAACAAGTCCATACCTAGTTTTGTAAAACCCATACAGCTTTCCTTTCACTTCTAAACTAAGTTTAAATTAAAGTAGAGGGAAATTTCTATTTAAACAACAAGACCAGCTATATATATATGAAAGAGCAAAAAGCCGAAAACAGGTGTTTTCAACTCATTCCAGTGGTCCTCTAACACATAATAACTGACATCTGTGCTGGAAGATTTTTGTGGCTCTCTCAATGTGCTTTAAAATCTTGACAAAACTTCCCTACATTACTTAAAAAGATATTGTGAAGTGAGAGTATTAAGGAGAATACTACTATATACCTTCTAAGTTTTATTACTAGCTCAGTTTTCTAACTTAATTGACATTGGATGTGCTAACAGACCTTCCATTTACTCCATAACCTAAAAGAAAGAGAATGCAAGATACAGAAAAATGAACAAGAGTATCTTCTTTCTGAATTAATCTTCCCCAAAATAAATTAAAGTCAAGCAGCCTATGGCCTATGGGTTAGCATGTCAGAGTCAGAAGTGGGGACAAGCCCTGGTATCAGGAACAACATTCAGACTACAGATTAAGATTTTACAGCTTTGTCAAAACAAGCAAATAAGTAAATGTGGCATTAATTAAATTAGTTCAAACAAATCTAATGTATTCTTGATTATGTCAGCCTATTCTATTCACAATCAGTATGAAGGGGTTATCCTAAACATTTTAAGGTACCATATAAGGCAAAGGCACCTTCTATACACCTGACTTCCCCATTTATAATTCTGGCCTCTCTGTTTTGCTCTTCTGAGTTGCAGTGTATAGAATTATCAAAATTATTTTCAGTCTCTTTTTCCCTGGAGAGACTTCCTGCAGTAGGGCTTTTTGAATTTAGAAGCAACTTTGAAACCAATACATAAAGGCTGACTTCTCATACCACCGTCTTCAACATCATACAGGTTTTCCAAAAAACAGAAAACAAAAGGAAAAGCCCACGGAGACGATTTCCTCACTGAGGCTGCCTAACCTTTCACCACCCTTGACACGAGGCTGTACACTCCGCTCACCACTTTCTCTTTGGATCGCAGGACTCCCAGCTTCCCAAACCGGACATGGAAAGGTGAGCACTGATAGGTGCCGTCCTGCTGCCGGACCACGATAACATCGATGCAGCCGGACAGGGTGGCCTGGTTGATGCCCTTGTAGAGTTCCTTCACAGTGACAATCACCTGCCCAGCCAGCTGTCCCACATAATTCATGGTTTGAGACTACAGAAGACAAGGAAAAAAAGATGAGGCATTAATACTGAATTTGCGGATCTAATGACAATGACAAGAAATAACAGCAGTGACTGAAAATACAGCACTCATTTGTACACCCGATTTCATATTATTATTAACCTTGCTCATTTTAAACCCACCAGTCTCACAATACCACTAGTTTTACACATTTTCACGCATGGACAATCCCAGATTGCCCTTCTTTGTATGTTGAGAGGCTGTCCCACCAGGGCTTGAGGGATACAGAAGTTCCCTTTCCTTTTCCATCATCATGGTGATGCTACCATTAGGAAATTCCCTACAAACTTCAGAGCCTGCACATAACCATAAAAGAACTCAGATCACCACACCCAGCCTCCTGCCAAAGACCTGAACCTGGGCTATTTCATCCACTCTGGCCACAGCAGCCAAAGCAGGAAAAATGAAGGAAGACCACTCCCAGTAGAAACTTGAAATTCATCTTTCAAAAGAAACAATGTAATAAATGAGAGCTGGGTTCTCTACAGAACTATCAATAGGATATTATGGTTCAGATACATATGAACTAGCCTGGGTCTAATAAATTTACAACATTATTTCTATGGAAAATGCCTCAAAGCTTCAACACAACTCACTGGAACATGCATTCATGTTCCACAAAGTTGAAAGCCCAGGAAAGGGTTTAAATTTGTTACTCAACCTCAATTCACTAATCAAATCAGCATCACAGGATCAGAAAAGGATCCTCCAGAAAGGGTCAAAGAAGGAGGGGAGCACATCCGACCAGGGCTGCAGGGACAACAGCTTCTCTGAGGAAATGCTTCCCGCTCTCTGCAACCCCTAACCCAAAGTGGCTGCAGCTAGTGCTGGCTTTATCTGCCGACGCAGCACGCTCTGAGAGCCAGTGGGGAAGTCTCCTTGCCCCTCTCCCCGTAATTTTTCCACTAATCAAAGCTTTGGTCCCACTGGGTGTTTGACGTCCCATCAGATGGTTGACTGTGTACTCATTTGTGAAGGGAAAAAACTAAGAACAGTTAGAAATACACTATCAAACATGTGGCTAAAGCCATGTATACTTTCCTCCTGCCTTCACCTCATCCTAAACCCCTGGCAACTACTCATCTGTTCTCTATTTCTGTAATTTCGTCATTTCAAGGAAATGATATAAATGAAATAATACAGTATGTAACCTTTTGGGATTGCCTTTTTTTACTCAGCATAATTCTCTCGAGATTCACCCAGACTGTTGCATGTATCAACAGTTCATTCTTGTGCCATTTTGTCAACTCCAACTCATAGCAGCTCTACAGAACACAACAGGGTTTCCTAGCCTGAAATCTTTACGGGAGCAGATTGCCAGGTCTTTTCTCCCGCGGAGCAACTGGTGGGTTCGAATCACCAACCTTTCGGTCAGCAGCCGAGCGCTCCAAGAAAACCCTATAGAGTAGTACTACTACTCTCTAACACATGGGGTCTCCATGAGTTGGAATCAACTCGACTGCAATGGGTTTGGTTTTTCTGGAGTGTGCCAAGGCATGGATGTACCACAGTTTAACCATTCACCCACTGGACAGCTGGGCTGTTTCCAGTTTTTGGCTGTCACAAATAAAGCTGCTATCTAAACATTCAAGTATTTAGGTTTTTGGGGGAAAATAATTTTTCACTAGACTGGGATAAATGTCCAGGAGTGAGACTGGTGGGTTGCATGAGTCGCAGGTTCAGCTTTTCACAACACTGCCAAACTGTTTTCCAGCGGGCTGTGCCATTTTACATTCCCACCACAATGTACAAGGGCTCTAGTTCCTCTGTATCCTCCCCAGATTTTTGTGTTGTCACTATTTATCTTACTTATTCTAACAGGTGTGTTTGTGTTTTAATTTGCATTTCTCTAATAGCCAATGATGCTGAACATCTTTTCATGTGCTGATCTGACATCTGAATAACTCATTAAACTTTATTTAATAAAAAAGCACTGCAACTAATTTAGAGGAAAAGGGAATAAACATCTTTTTTTTTTGTTTCTGATTTCTGGGGTCAGTGTGTATAATTTTTGTATCTTAAGAATGTCTCCAAAAACAGAAGTGAAATAAAATTCTTTCTTGTGTAGTTTATTGTTTCACGCTCTTTTACCAGGTAGTATTTTTTGGCAACCTAGAACAGTCCATCAAAATTTTCATATTCTGTAAGCATTACATGTTCACGACATACTTCTTGCCTGTCACTCTACATACATTAAACAGCACCCAAGCGGTCGATCTTTGTATTATTGCTTGATTGACAGTGGCAATTTCAAAATGTATTTTGATACAAGAAATAAACAATTTGTAACAGATTAGAGAATTTTTCTTAAAGGAAACTGAACAAAAACTTTTAATTATCTATGTTCAGCCATAAACAAGTCTTATGAACATAAACGTGATGAGCTTACATCAACTAGAGCATAAAATCCATAATTATGTATAAGCATAAAATCCATAGTTAAGTATAACTGTATCTATTCAAGGAGCTCTGGTGGCACAGCAGTTAAAGTGCTCAGCTGCTAACTGAAAGGTCGGCAGTTTGAACCCACCAGCCGTACTGCAGGAGAAAGATGTAGCAGTCTGTTTCTGTTAGGATTTACAGCTTTGGAAATCCTATGCGGCACTTCTACTCTGTCTCATAGGGTTGCTGTGAGTCGAAATTGACTTGACAGCACTGAGTTCAGTTTTTGATATATCCATCCAAGTTGATTTTAATTACCATGGATAAGATGTGCTATTATACATGAAAAACTATTATGTAAATGTCACAATAGTGACTGGTTTCTTTCAGGAGATATAAAACAATCCTATTTATATTATGAAGTCTGGGAAAACAAAACTAAAAGGGTTGCCTGGCACTTTAAATTTGTACTGTTGCTGTGTGCTGTCGAATTGATCCTGACACACGGCAAGTAGAACTGCCCATAGGGTTTCCTAGGCTGTAATCTTCACGGGGGCAGATCACCAGGACTCTTCTCCTGTGGAGCAGCTGGCGGGTTCAAACTGCCGACCTTTCGAGAGCTTAACCATTGCACCCACCAACCTGTTGCTATCAAGCCGATTCCGACTCACAGCGACCCTATAAGGAGAGAGCAGAACTGCCCCATAGGGTTTCCAAGGAGTGGCTGGTGGATTCCAACTGCCAACTTTTCGGTTAGCAGTCATAGCTCTAAACAACCGTGCCACCAGAGCTACTTAAATTTGTACTACACCCTGGTAATAAGGAGCAGCAGCTCTGCTAGAAGGGTAATCCCAACAAGGCTGGAAGAAGAGGTGTCTTCATAGCTATGCCTAGGGGGACAGCAGTTGATCATCTTTACTTTAAAACAAGATACTTTAAAACAGCCTCCTCTTTAAGTAGAATCTAACACCATAAAACTACTCCTACATGTCCAGCCCAGTCAAAATAAGGTCAGACTGACGCCAGCCTGAGCTGGGTCAATACCTGATAGTACACACCTGCAGACTAGGAGCAGAAAATATACATAATTATATAACCCCCAAAGGCATGTATCAGGGAGTCCACTCCCATTGAAGACACTAGCTTTTAAAATAAAACAAACATTGAAAAATGTAGTGATAATATACATTGCAAACTATTCATATTTTATAGTTAATGATGAAAAAACAAAAATAGAAGAGAAGGGAAAATGAAACCAAGAGAGGAGAATGACAGAGAAATGCAGAAGGAATAGATGAAAATTCACAGAAAAAGGCTGAGAGACAAAACAAAGACAGAATACATAATCAGGAAGGTAGACTGACATAAAATGCCCACAAAGAAAGAGAAACATGAAACTGAAGGATTTTCATAGAGCAGCATCCGTATCTTGAGGTCCACAAGCATAAATGAAAATATAAAAATGCATTTATTGATTCTTGGAACCAGAAGAGTTTATCCAGCCCAATCTTCCAACAGATACCAAACGTGCTTCTAGGACATCTCTGAAATACGGTACTATTAACAATAATCACAGCAGCAGCAAGTATTTTTTTAAGAGCTTATTATGTACCAATTTTTAAGCTTATATACAATACTGCCTTATAGATAAGCATTACTATTTCTATATTAAAGATGTAACTGAGGTTTAGAAAGGTTAAATACTTTCTTAACCACTACATGCTATACTTCTTTTCAGTTCTGGGATACTTCCAGTTGACAGAGACTCACTATTTCACCAAGAAGGTGATAACAATATCAGCTATTATGTCCACCAGACGTCACAGTGAAAATGTACCACCCTCCTCCAAATAACACTACTATATGCCAAAGAGTTTATTGTTCATCCACAACTACGTCTCATCTATTCTGAGCTAAACGTTCTTCTTTAAAATACCTGAAATGACTGCGGTTACTTTTACTTCTGTGACAAACTAGGGAATTTTCTACGTCCTTCTTTAAATGGGATACTCAATCCCAAAACCAGACACAATGGACCAGATGCAGCCTGACTGATAAACCTACACAGTGTGATACTTAGATCTAGGTACCTGCCTCATGGGCTGGATTAAATGCTGGGAGTTGCCAAATTCTGTAGAAAGAAGTGGCGGGGTGGGGAAGGGCAGGTACTGATTACTAAACTAAAAATTGAAGATCAGTGGACAAAGCCAACTATGTAAATCACTTCTGAGAGGCCAAATTGTCCTTCATACACAAAATTCAATAGGCCAAATAGCTGTTCACACATGATATTCAATAGTGTCCACTTTCAGGGTTTTCCTATCAAATATTTTAAAGTAGAAAAGGATATACACTGGTGCCTGGAACAAATGGGCAGCTTTCAAGATTCAATTATCCACCAAAAGTTTAAAGAAATGCTTAGTATCCTTCCCTGACCACCGAAGAAACTAAACAAAATCATCATTATACATGGTAGGGATTTATAAACGGAATGCATTAGTAAATAGATCCAAATACAGACCCTACAAAAACTACCCAAAACTATTTTAAAATGATGTGTCAATAAATCAATAAAAAATAACTTCTGA